TTCCATTATTTTGACCACTCGTTTTCTTCCTCATAATTAACAATTATTCAATTATATCAGGAGAAGAATTTATTTATTGCAATCAATCCTTCTAATAAATAAAATTATTAACATTTTTCGAATTACTAGAATCGTTATGATAAATAAAATCTGTAACAATTACTCGTTTTATTAAAAATAGTTGAAGCAGATGAAATAATTGATAATTATTCAATTATATCGAGGGAATAATTTATTTATTGCAATCAAACCTAACATTTAAATTATTGGAATTTGTTGAATTACTAGAATTATCATATGGGGACTCATCCATAATAATATATTTAAGATAGCCTTCATGGATGCTTCATACGATAATGAAAGTACATAACTAATTAAACTAGTTAATAAAATAAAATTTCTATCTAAATAAATGAATTAAAACTGTAATACATATATTTATTTTTCACTTTGTTATATGTATATTTATATAGTTATTCTTAATTTTAAAAGAGAGTTCAAATGAAGGATTTACTTGTTTTATTTGATTTGAATGAATTTCTTGCATTTTCAGTTTCTAGTAAATAAATGACGAAATTTATGAGATTTCTCAATGAAAAATGGATATCCACTGGAATTTCCCCGAAAGGTGTTATTTCTCTCGTTAATCAATTTACCAAACCCTCAAGGAGTGCCCAAAAGACGAGAATCGACGGATTTGGCGTGACGAATCGATCATTGAAGATCCAAAAATGGATAACTCTCGGAAACGTTGACTGGAAAGTGTCGTTATATGGGTATTGAGCTCGAGTACGTGCACAGAGAGTACAAGGGACCATTAATCTCCAGACTCTCATTACATTTAAAACGAAAGCCGGCCACATTTGCCAATTGCAAGTAAACCTCTTGGGATGCGACCTCGTATTTAATCCCCAGTCGAGATCGAGACGAAATCGGCATCTGTACATGTCTTACCATCAATTAATTTGCAATTAGAACGAAATTATTTTTACTGACGACTCAATTAACAAATTGCAACCAATTCCAATTTTTATAATTTCACTAACAAATCCATTCACTCAAACAAATTCAATTGCTCATCACACTCATCAAATTAAATTTTTCATTCATTGTTGAAGAGAAATAAATTAATTCATCAACAACAGAATCAATAAAAACCAAGAGTTTTCTGAATAAAAAAAAAGCCAGACGGCAATTGACAGAAAAAATCCGCAGTGACTTCACAGTTATTCTTAGGGTAATGATAAAATTAATCATTTTTTTACTAAATGTATAACTGTTTTATTATTTTCACGCGAATAAACAGAGGGCGATGACGGACGGGGGGTGATGTCATCCTCAAGATGAGATCCGCCTATTTAAAATGACACAAGGCCTGCTTTATTCCTTGAGCAGTTTATCGACCAGATTACAGATAATTTAAAAATTCAAGTTCAATTATAAACACTGAAGGGCAAGTTTCTAAAGCTTTACAACAATCAAGGTGAGTGTCACTGAGGGACATCTGACCTCATCATTCAAATGCCATCGACCGATGCCATTTCAATAAAAAATTACTTTTTTCTAAATAAAATATTTACACAAAAAATTTAAAATATATCCACTTCAAAATTAATATAATATATTCATTTTCTAAATAAATTTTTTTCTAAATAAAATATTTACACAAAAAATTTAAAATATATTCACTTCAAAATTAATATAATATATTCATTTTCTAAATAAATTTTTTTCTAAATAAAATATTTACACAAAAAATTTAAAATATATCCACTTTAAAATTAATATAATATATTCATTTTTAAATACATAATTATCGCAATTGATAACGTAATCAATAATAATTTTATTACGATTTTATTTGATTTTTATAATTATTCAGATTATTGTTAATTGTCTCAATGATAATTTGTTAATATTTTCATAATTTCATTGGGAGTTATTACAATGATATTCTTTTAATTTAAGGACCGGTTGGATTATCTGGAAAAGATAATTTACTCCAAAATTGGGATTCCTAATTACTCTGGCAATTAATGTTTTTTTTCAATAATTTTTAGCTAGCGTTCTAGCGATTGCCAACAACTAAAACGCTAGCTAACAATTATCGGAAAAAAAAATTAATTGGCGAAGTAATTAGGAATCGCAATTTTGGAGTAAATTATCTTTCCGAGATACTCCATCCGGCCCTTAATCGTATCAAGACGAGCCATTGGATTATAATTAATAAACAATTGGGTGTTTTTGTTATATATGTAAATTTATGTAATTAAATTATTTCTTTGATAAAAAAAAACTTCGAAAAAAATATTTTTTAAGTCCATGAAGTCCATGGTGATTTAACTATAAAGTTTCCTCTGTTAAGTCCACGAGAGCTTAAACTCTCTCTGGAAATACGAGAGGACGACTTTTTTTTATTTATAAACGAATTTTTATTTGCAAACGTGAAAGTGACCGTGACACTAAAATACGTGATGTCGTGAACCACTCAGGGACGTCTGGCCTCGTAAAAGTCGGTACGAGGGATTTTATTCATTTAATTTTTTTTTGTACAAAGTACCAATGAAGGGGAAAACAAGGCAAGGTCAATTGTTTCAATTCAATGATTCATGTACCTCAATAAATGAATGAATTATTTTCGGGTCTCAAAAACTTATGAATATAACTCTTGAAATAATATCTGTTTATATTCGATTTCTGTTTTTAGAGATAATTTTTCTATTTTGATCCATGGATCCCTTGCCGCATTGGAATGACACAGATTTGGTAACCAAGGGCCCCCCATCGATAAAGCGCACTCATTACCACCGAAAATTCATTAAATTTCGAGTCCATTCCCCCAGCGGCGAGTAATTAAACGCGTGTTTATCCCTCATCACGATTTCAATTAAAAATTCTAATTCATCCGTTTACTTTACGAGTTTTAAATAAATCTGATGAAGCGATGGGATACACAACTTCCTTTAACTTTAAGGCCCGGATGGACTGTCCGGAAAAGATAATTTACTCCAAAATTGGGACTTCTAATTACTCCGTCAATTAATCGTTTTTTCCGGTAATTATTAGCTAGCGGCCTAGTTGATGACAACCGCTAGAACGCTAACTAACAATTATTTAAAAAGACGATTAATTGCCAAAGTAATTAGGAATCCGAATTTCGGAGTAAATTATCTTTTCTAGATAATCCACCCGAGCCTTAATAATTTTTCCACAGTTTTTTTACGGTTGTTTGGAAAAAATTTCAGAAAGATCGCACTGAATGTTTTTTTTTAAAGCAGATGATTCATTGGGATTAAATACCTGATGATGTCACATGTTCTCGTGGCTTTTAACTTCCCTTTTCCCCCGTGTGACGGAATTTCTTCATCGTTCAGAGAAATTCAAGTTTTTTTTATAAAAAACAATTTTTTATTGCGAAATCCGTAAATTTTACTGAGAATTCTGTACATGATGTTTGAACGTCATGTGAGTGGTTTCCAGAGGCGAAGGCACGTCGACGCACCCTCGAAGAAATCCTGACGTCGACGTCGAGGAACTTCTGGTGGAACTACCCGCGTGTGCAGTGGAACCGTCGAGGGTAGTTGCATTTCCGTAACCAAAGCAACCGTTTGTTTACAATTTCAATTCTACGCAGACGCCTCGAAGGCGAAGGGTTGATGAACAATCGGGCAATCCATCGAATGCGTGACTATACGTCCCAATTTGCGTGATATCTTCTCTGCTGACGATCCATTACAGTAGTTACCTCTTTTACTAACATGCGAGGGTAAACCGATAAATTTCCTCTGAGAGCAAATTTTATTGACTAACAAAATTATGTTGACAATAACAATCTGTAGAGAATTCTCTGGAATTCCAGACTGGAAAGGACATGCAAAGAAAAATAATTTTCCGAATTTTTCGGAAATTTTAATTGAATATTAAATATTTCATGCTAGTCACTGATACCAAATCTGATTTTTGAAAAACGATTTTTTGCAAATGTCACTACCCTTTCCAAAACGTTCCTGATTTATAATTAGCGACCTAGGTTCCACCTAATTAATTAATTAATCAATCAATCAACTCCAAGTGGCTTCATACGAATTCCAAATCTACTGCTGATTTTTGAAAAACGATTTTTTGCAAATGTCACTACCCTTTCCAAAACGTTCCTGATTTATAATTAGCGACCTAGGTTTCACCTAATTAATTAATTAATCAATCAATCAACTTCAAGTGACTTCATACGAATTCCAGATCTACTACTGATTTTTGAAAAACGATTTTTTGCAAATGTCACTACCCTTTCCAAAACGTTCCTGATTTATAATTAGCGACCTAGGTTTCACCTTTCAATTAATTAATTTCAACTGCCCTCATCTTCTATCACGAGTTCTTCTGCAGATGTACGGGACTTTCCGCTCCTCTTCCCTTCTAGTTATGAATTTATAAATTTAGATTGATAAATTTCCTGCAATCGAAAACACTGGAGCTGAATTAATAAAAATCATACAAACACTCGGCGTTACCCCCGGGGACTGATGGGTCTGATGAACCCCATAAAGATCATACATCATTTGGTCTCCACCTTCTCCTAATCAGGCCCGACATTATTTCTGTCAAGATCCCGCTTAATTACGATGTAATTAAGTGATTAGTCACATGGCATTACATCATTTTATGCAAATGTTTACATATTTTTCCATTCCATGGCAGATTTAAGGCTCGGGTGGATTATCTAGGAAAGATAATTTACTCCGAAATTCGGATTCCTAATTACTTTGGCAATTAATCGTTTTTTTCAATAATTGTTAGCTAGCGTTCTAGCGGTTATCAACAACGAGGCCGCTAGCTAATAATCATCGGAAAAAACGATTAATTAACGGAGTAATTAGAAGTCCCAATTTTGGAGTAAATCATCTTTTCCATACCGTCCATCCGGGCCTTAAATGCATTGTTCCTATAAATTCAGGATCAGGGCTGGATTTATCGGAGAGTTTGAAATTCAAGTCCAGAAATCCAGTGCGCCTTATTTATTCAATATTTCGTCATTGACAGCAATAGAGAACATCAATTAAACAATTAATTGTCTGTAGATTCGTCGATTATCATCTAGAGAATTAAATCATAAAATGACGGTTTTTGCTCAATTATTTACTGACGTTAATTATTTTTCTTCGATGGGCTCCAGTCTCAGGTGAATTCCTCCTGCAGGTGCGAGGATAAAACTTCCTTTGTCAATTTCATATGGAAATGGTGAGAGACTCGTCGGCCTCACTCGAAAATTCTTCAGGGCTTTTATCAGACCCAGTTTCACCTGATACGATGCAAATCTTGCGCCTGTAATTGGAACAAACAATGTGTTATCAATGATAAGAGTTTGTCGTCAGGGATTGATTACCGATGCAATTTTTCGGCCCATCTCCAAAAGGAAGATAAGCCATTGGATGTCTCATGCGTTTGTTCTCCTCAGAGAACCTCTCAGGATCGAATACTTCCGGATTTGGATAATATTCTTCATCATGATGGATGGCATGAACAGGAATGGTGACTTTAGTTCGAGGTTCAAGAGTAATACTCGTTCCAGGTAGAGTATAGCGTTCGAAGACGCTTCTAGTTAAAGTAATGCCAGGTGGATCTTTCCTCAGTGACTCTGCACAATAATGAATCAATGATAAGAAATTTCAATCCATCCTATCAATTATCATACTGGTAAAGAGCCTGTATTTCCATTATGAATTTCAAATGAATTCCTCGGAAACCCCTTACGAATTCTATTAAAGAACCCCAGTCGACCTTTCAGAGAATCTTTTCAAGAACGCGATATGTAATTAATTAATTATGATTGTAATTAACCTTGAATAACCATGTCGAGGTATTTCATCTGATTTACTACTTCGTAGGACAATTCACCCCTACATTTTTTCACAGTGTCCAAAATTTCTTCTATCAATTTATCTTGAACTTCAGGATTATGAGCAAGTTCCTGAAGAGCAAAGGAAATGGCAGTGGATGAGGTTTCGAAACCTGCGACAAAGAATACAAATGCCTGCGCTGACATGAGACTCTCAGTGAACTCTGAAATCAATTGATAATTACAAAAATTATTACTCTGATTGTTCAATGAATTAATCAATTTTTTTCTGCATATTTTTACTAGCACAGAAGGAAAGTATTTACCAAACTCCTTATTATCGTGGGTCTTTTCAATTTCCATTAGAGTGTCGACCAAATCATGCCTGATGACATTCTCCCTCTTCCTGAACTCCATGGCCTCCTTGACGGATGATATAAAGAATTCAGTGATATCTGTGGGTATCACCTTCACCTTGAGTGTCTCAAAAACCTTGGGTGCAGCTTCCCTGAGCATTCTCTTGAGAATAGTCCAGTAGCTGGACTTGAAGAGTCTCCTGCCAGCATCCCTGAAGGCACTGTCTTCCCTGGACAAGGCATTCATGCTGATACCAAAAGCGCAAGATCCAATGACATCAGTTGTGAATTTAGCAGCTACTTCTCTGAACTCCACGACATTTCCCTTGCTCCCCTCCTGGAGGAGATACTTCTCATAATGATCAGCGCACTCAAGCATCAGATTAAACATGTGCTTGAGTTTTCCACTGGTAAAGACAGGAGTCAACTTAGTTCTCAGGGATCTCCACCTGGGCCCATCCAGGTTGAAGAGATGACCAGCGAGTGGATCAATCTCCTCATTAATTTTTACTCCACGACCCGAGAAGACGTTGAAGTCCTTGATCAACACGTTCTTCACTAAATCCAGGTCTTTGATGACGAGAGCTGGGGAGTGGCCGTTGTAAACCCCGAAGAAGGGGCCCTTCCAGTTTTTATACAGTTCCATCATTGCATCGGCGATGGACGCCCTTCGAAAAAGTACTCCACCGAAATTACCGATGAGGGGCACAGGAGTGGGTCCAGGTACTCCCCGGTTCTTCCAGTACCTCAGCTTCGCGGTCGTCCAGTAAAGAATAACTACGAACAACAGGACAAGGGCCCCGAGGGCCTCAACTACTCCCAACAGCATCCTATGGAACTGGTGAACATGACCCCAATTCCCCTGTTTATAACTCACTGGTAGAGAACTCTCAGAATGATACAGCAGTTTCTTTATCTGCTAGCATTTATCATTTTATTTTTCACTTTCATCGTCAACATTGTGAACAGAACTCGTGGAATTTATCTACATTTGGGATTTATCAGGGTCGGTTGACTTCGTGGGATCAAGATCATTTTTAAGTGCTAAGTTATCGAATGAAAAGGCAGTTTTTTCAGTATTCTATGAGTCTATCCAAATCTTTAACTTTCAGATAAATAACTCGTCTAATAAATTATCTCATCGATATATATCCGTAGAATTTCAAATATTATTTAAGGCTCGGGTGGATTATCTAGAAAAGATCATTTACTCCGAAATTCGGATTCCTAATTACTTTGGCAATTAATCGTTTTTTTCAATAATTGTTAGCTAGCGTTCTAGCGGTTGTCAACAACTAGGCCGCTAGCTAACAATTATCGGAAAAAACAATGAATTGACGGAGTAATTAGAAGTCCCAATTTTGGAGTAAATTATCTTTTCCAGACAGTCCATCCGGGCCTTAACATTTCTTTAATTTGCGATCAATTAAATTCAACGAATCTATCTCATTTTTATACAATAAAAACTTTATAAAAAGTTCGTTCCATCTGAGGAATGAAAAGTTATTTATTGGAAATGAATAAAAATTAATGATGAAATGTATTGAAATTTACCATTTTATTATTAGCATATGAGATACAAAAAATATCTTCTGTCGAAAAATCGTACAAAATATTTACTAGGCTTGACAGATTCATTTGAATTGGCACAATTAACATCACTTGTGCTGAAAATTGTTGGGAACTAGAGATTATGGAGCAAAGTAGAGATTGCCTGGTACATTGTTATTCCGTAGCCCACGAAGAAGGCGACAGCTCGATGGGGCTGTCTTGGGACAATTGCGTAGACGAGGGTGTGGACAAATCGAGCAGCGACGAATGTCCTTATGAGAATCATTGCCAAGAAGTAGGATGGCCCTGTGGTGAGCCAAATTGGTGTCATTACGAACCAGGGGAGAATGTTCTCCAGATCATTCCTGTGGGCTCTCCTCACTCTCTCAACGTCAGGATCATCTGTCGTTATTTTTGATTTCTTATCGAAATTGTCCTCGGGATTGGCAAACACCTGAAAAAATCATCATATAAATATCTCTCCTAATCACTCAAAAGTTTCAATGGAAAATATTTACGAAAAAAATTTGGCAGAAAGATCTAATTTTTCTATTATACAAAATATCTGTTGAATGTTCTAATAAATAATCTTACAAGAAAAAATCTTGACAAGAAATTTCCACGTAACTTATTCACCGGTATAACCAATAAAATCATCACCTTTTTTCCAAATCTCACTCTGGCAGTCAGCAGAGCCATCGCCAGGATTTTAATCACTAAAAGAGTACTCCAGAACGCAAACTCCTTCAGCAAATCCGCCCTGATGAGACTCATGATGTCCAAAACTTTAAAAATTTGTCCGATTGCTCCAAAAATCCGCTCCCAACTGAATGATTATCAATATTCCGGGCTAAAACGGGTCATGGAATTGCATAACTCACACGGCGACGTCATCCCCTCCTGGATTCCACGTCCTTCCGGAAATCATCAAGTCATCTTCGCTTCTTCCACGAGATGCATTCAAAAATGCTTCCAAAGTCCATTAGGAAGCCGCTGCTATAATCATGACATGTTAAAATTTCAACTTGAAATAAAAACAAAGGAATAAAAATGCAAATCAGCTGATTGCCACCCTCCAACCCCCCCATCACGGTCAAACGCCATCTTGAATTTCCCAAGGCGACTGATGAGTCGGTAAAAACGACACTGACATTCTCAATGATTTTCCTTCTGGATAAATTGTCGCGTGGTAAAAATAAAGAGTAGAAATCAAATAAATAGTCAAATTGTATTTATGTATAATTGAAATATTAATGAATCACTGTCCGATAAAAAATCAACTGCGTGCACTAGTGACTGATCATCGTAGAGGCGGAGACGTGGCTCATCCCTTAGTCAATTATTATTTAGATCATATTTGAGTTTTTAGTGGTATTATTTATGTGAATAATGGCATCCCGAGTTAATCAGGGTATACAGAGAGTTTTGGGAAAACTAGAGGCTTCTGTCAACTCTGGCAATTATTATGAGGCACATCAGATGTACAGGTCGCTATACTTCAGGTAACGAGTGATGACGGATAATCATTTTCGGTTCTATTCTCATTTTTAATCATGTGTTATATTTTTCTAACCTTCAGGTACCTTGGCCAGAAGAAGTACGCAGATTTACTTGAATTACTCTATAATGGTGCGATGCTATTGTTGCAACGTGATCAGGTTAGTGAGAGATTATGGGATCCTAGATGTGATAGAAAATTCAGTGGAAAAACTTGGATCTGGATGACTATCTATTAAAATTCACAAAATATCACATGGGGACACTTGGAGCTTTCAAATCTTGACGTCTTATTTAATTGCTGACAAAATTGAATCATGTTCTATCTATGAAAAAAATTATGGAAACTTTTCCCTCTTTTTCTCTCTTCCTCTTTTTTCTATTTCTCAATCAATCCGAAATTAACTCAATTGACGATTTCCCTGAATGATGAATTTGAAAAAAAACATCCGAACTAAAAATTCTCCCTGAATTTTAAACACTCTATCATTAATAACCGATTAATTGCGATGACGATTGGATTTTAGCATACGAGTGGCGCCGATCTAGGAATTTTGTTCATAGATGTGTTGAATAAATCGGAGACAGAAACGTCGAAATCATACTTCGAGAAGATAACGAATTTATTCAGTATTATGAAGCAGGGAACGCCCGAGAGAGAGACGTTCCTTCATAATGCCCTGAGATGGAGTTTGAAACATACGACTTACAAGTGGGGACACCCTGATCTCCATAAACTCATTGCCGAGGTATTTTGGCAGGAGAAAAACTACACCCTGGCAAAGCAACACTTTATATACAGCAACGATGGGGCTGGATGTGCAGCAATGCTAGTGGAGCTTCATCAGCAACGTGGGTACTCGAATGAAGTCGATCTTTTCATAGCCCAAGTTGTTCTACAGTACCTTTGTCTACACAATGAATTTGCAGCACAAAAAGCCCTGGACTCGTACACCTCCAGGCATCCAAAAATAAATAATGGACCTCCCTACCTCCTGCCACTACTCAATTTCTTGTCATTTCTGTTGAAGACTATTCAACTCCCCTCACATGGTATGTTCCTCATACTCTGCGAACAGTACCAGTTGAGTCTCAACAGAGATCCGAGTTATCGTATTTATCTGGATAAAATAGCACAGCTGTTTTTCAATGGTCCTGCTCCACGACCCAAACGTCAGGGCCTATTTGGAAACCTTTTGCAGTCACTTTTCGTTGGTCTTGATGACGAGGACTCTGACATGGAGGAGCAAGCATCCAGACAAAGCACTCCTGGGGCATCAACTTCACAAGCTCCTCAAGAACTTGACTGATCATCGAGGCCCCTGGCATTGTATCATAACGTAGTAGAGCAGATATTAAAAATTTATTTTACATTTATTTGTTTTTCATAGACAATTTTCACTCTTGGTTAGTACACCCATTGATTCGTGAGGAGCTGGTTTTGGGGGAAAATAGAAAATCGGTAAATCTTCCCTTTTCGAATTGGCAATAATTTTCGGAGGTTCATTCCAATTGATTCCTTCCTTGATCGTCAATGACCAGTTGTCGCTCCCTTATTATTTGATTCAGTTAGTCCATCATATTTCAATTTTTTCGATATGTAATGCTTTCATTTAGCCTTCAGGTAAATTCAAGACTCATTTTACCCAGGGGTTACGATGAATAATCACCGACATTGATCTTTCTAATTATTTATTAATCTCTTCTGTTTTCGACTGTACGATATCCTTCTGATGGATCATGGGAAGAAGATAATACATTAATTATGAAAAACTAGTTTAATGGAAATGCTTGAAGTAATGTCTATTAATAATTGATAAAGTGTGACTTGTGCTCATTTTAATGAGCTTTACTAGCGCCATGTGGACTGTCTCAGTGAAAAAAAATGTCGTGAAAAAAAAAATATTGTACAAATAACTACAAGTTTTAGGCGGTAATTGTGGCTCGTGGTAGAGGAGTTGAAAACGTCAAATCAATGTGCGGGAAAATTATGAGAACATTGTTATTTAAAAATAATGTAACTTTGCCAAAAAAAAATTCAAACTTTTCTATTACACGAGCATTTTAGTCGGTTGCAATGTACTCAATCAATGAATCTACGTAAATTTATAATTGGAATACGATAAAGAAGAAAATGTGTGAGGAATTCCTAAAAACTTGGCCCATTGAAAATATTATAAGGTACTGGTAATTATCTGTGTGCAGTTTTTGCTATAAATCAACTGAAATTTAGTTTCAATTATTTTGTTAAGGTTCATGGAAATTGTCCACGTGTAACGAATTAATGGACAATTTCCTCTGAACTTCAATCATGTGCAAATTTATCTTATTTCACTTCCATACGTACTTTAAACCCCATATTTAGATGTACTTGTAAATGGAAAGGATAAAAAAATCTAATGGGTTTGTACATAAGGACAAAATATTCAAGAATTTATATCTACTGTACTGTGCGTGCGCAATATTCCTGTGACTAATGCGATAATATACCGATGAGCGAGGGATGGTGGTAATAATTCTCTTGGCGCAATAAAAAAGAATTCATTTTACAAAAATCTTCATTTCGCTTTCATACACTTTCTGTATCAAAATAGAAATACTACGTATTAATTCTTTAATTTTATGCAATGAAAGTTGCTTAAGGCTGATAATGATATCAGAGTAATGAAAAACCTCTGTAATCATTCGAGGGATATACGGTAGTTGCTTAGTGAGTACAAAGTCTCTGTTTTCAGTATTCATCGTACCCTGGCAGTGAAAACTTCCGAGAAAAATTTTCGACCTCATCGCGCAGAGCTTTGACCTTCGATTTGATTTCTGGGTCATTTTCAAGGACTTTCTTGAAGTCCACGAGTTTGGGGCCAGACTTTGCCGTCACTTGTTTGGATAATTCCAGTCCTGGAGCAGAAGTAACATCAATTTAATCAATTAATAAATCACTTTAGTATTTCAAAATTATATTTATTCATGGACTGACCTTTATGAATAAATTCAGCGATATCGTCCACGTGTTCCTCCTTGATTCCCCTAGTCGTCAAAGCAGGCATTCCCAGTCTAATTCCACTGGGATTGAAGGCACTCTTGTCACCAGGAACGGTATTCTTATTGCAAGCAATCGAGATATCCTCGAGGATCCTCTCAGCCTTGGATCCAGTGACGCCAGTGTTCCTGAGATCGACGAGAAGCATATGAACATCAGTTCCCCCAGTGGTGATTTTGTATCCACGTGCTGTGAGAGCTTTGCACAATTGCTGGGCATTTTTCACGATTTGCTTCTGGTAGTCAATGAATTCTGGTGTCTGTGCTTGCTTCATGGCTGTTGCAATCCCAGCAATTTGATGATTGTGGGGTCCACCCTGGAGTCCTGGGAACACAGCAGCATTAATCCTACTCTCCAGATCGTACATGATTTTTTCACCGCTCTTGGCGACACTTCTGACACCCTTCCTGAAGAAGATGACACCAGCTCGAGGGCCGCGCAGAGTCTTGTGGGTCGTTGTGCTGACGACGTCGCAGTGGTCAAAGGGACTGGGGATAATCCCAGCTGCCACCAATCCTGAGATGTGTGCCATATCAGCAAAAAGATATGCATTATTCTCATCAGCGATTTCGCGGAAGCGTTTGTAGTCCAGACATCTGCTGTAGCAGGAGACACCAGCAATAATAACTTTCGGCTTGAAGAGTCGTGCATTTTCTGCTAGCTTGTCGTAGTCGATTAATCCGGTCTCTTGGTTCACTTTGTAGGGCATCGACTCGAAGAATATCGACGTCGCCGAGATTTTTTTGTTCTGAGTGAAGAATCCATGGGTCAAATGTCCACCATCGGGAAGATCCAAACCCATTATTCTTCCATGAGGCTCAATAAGTCCAGTGTAAACAGCGAGATTTGCTGGACTACCAGAATAAGGCTGGACATTGCAGCCCCATTGCTCTGGATCCAATCTGTAGGCAGCTAGAGCTCTCTTCTGGGCCAGCCACTCAATCTGATCGATGTACTCATTGCCACCGTAATATCTAGCACCTGGCAGACCTTCACTGTATTTATTGTGGAGACAAGAGCTCAGGCACTGGAGAACACTTAGAGATGTGAAATTTTCACTCGCTATCATCTCCAATCCACAGTTCTGACGCTGTTTCTCCTTCTTGATGAGATCGAACAGCTCAGGATCAGTCTCCCAGAGATTCTTGTGTAGTACTCCTGCCATTTTCTGGAAAGCCAGAAAAATTGTTACCGTTATTAAATATAACTGGGTAAATTAAATCGATTCAAATAACTGGGACTTTCTGGATAATATATTGGAGTGATACTGACGACTTGTTGCTCTCGTTGTTGATGACTTAATGAAGACTAAAAGAGTTTATTTAGCTGATTATTCTGTGAGGCAAGCACTGAGGCTATAACTGATAACCCAAAGTATTTACGAAATGATAAGAATAAAAATTGGAGGCTGCAAGTCAATATTTGTCTACTGGACACGTATTATTATTCATCACAACGATTTTCTCATTGTCATCATCAAATTCAATTAGAGAGAATAAAATGGATAGTTTAAAAGTTTCTTTTTTTTATAATAAACCCAAAAAGCGAATTGTGATGGCTAATAAAAATTCTATGAAATGAGAATCTAGTTGTGAATTTTTATTTTTATTCTCTGAATTATTTATATTAAAACTTACGGATTTGGATCGCCAACAAGTCGTTGTAGCCACGTGTTTTGAGATTAAAATTGCTTTTGGAACATGACCTTGGAGCAGGTGCCCTTTTATAGGCTCCAGACTGTTAATAATGATATTTCCCACCAATCGAGAGGATCGAACACCATGGGACGTCCAATTTACTGCCATCATGAAGTTGACACTGAAAATCATCTCAAAAGGCCGCGTAATTTGGTATGTAAAGTCAGGAAGATTGTCATTATTTTTAATTGCAAAATATATCGAAAGAAAATCGAAATCAGTGTTTATAACCTGTTAATTATTACCTGAGGAAAACATGTCATAAAATCTTGTCCATTTCCGGTGGAATATTTCCGGGTTTTTGATTTTTTTTTTCTGTGTCTTAAGTAATTCAACAATTTAAGGGGAATAATTTTACAAGTGACAAAGTCATTGCATTTAATTTCTACTTGTGATATCTGAACATGATCTACAACATTCCGGATTGCTCTCAATATCTAAAAGTAAAGAGAAAGGCTCTTCATTTTTTCCACAAACATGAATGGAAAATTGAAAGCCGCCATACGGCAATGATGGAAGGTCCGATAAAATCAAGATACTCTTAATTAATTTTATAATACCCTTAAAACATCAATATTATCTATAAAAATTTCGTGATTATGGAATAATTCAGGTCTTGACTGTTAGAAGAGGGAATTCCTCTCGAAATGAAATTTTTCGCTGAATGCATTATAATTGAAGAAAATTAGATCTTCATTGAAATATTATCATGTTTATGTTAGTATATTCATGAATAACTTACCCTTAAACTAATTCCCCTTTTCTCAACAGCTGCTACTGAATTCACTGAGAAATAGAAGTGTTTTATTGAGACTGAAACGTTAGAAGACTTTCTCAAATCACTGAGACCTGAATACAACGAAACAAAAAAATCGTCGCCTGTTCATTTTTTTATAATCCAGATCTAAGTCTGCTTAATCGTCATAAAATCATTTACAATAACAACAATCTTCAATTATATATTCAAAAAATGATAATTAATCAACAAATTATTTTTACGTTTGAGGATCGAAATTGAAATCGAATGTAGATTCACTCTGATCGATTACACAAATCAACAAATTGTTTAAACTAGAACAACTTTGTTAATTCAGGAGATTTTCAACTTTAGAATTATCAATGAGGGAAGGGGAAAAATTATTATCGATAACATGATGGTACCCCCCAGTCAGAGTCATCGAGGGTCATCAAAACATGATTACGTGAATGACTTTTCTGTCAGACGAACGTCATCGAAGCTCAGCTCTCGTGTTGAACTTGTTATCAACGATTTATTCTAGTTTTTAAAAATATTGACAAGTATTCAGACATGTGCCGGAATTAATGCACTTTTTAGTTGATTTTATTTTGTTTATCGCGTGTCGTAACTTTATGGGGATTACGTACCTTGGAAATTGATGTTTAGTAGACTAGGCTCGATGGAAGACTGGAAAGTTTTTTTCTTTTTTGACTGGACCTGGGGTGTCCTGATAAACCCTGATAACCCTGGAGATACAGTTTTAGGGAATTGTTTCAGACGCAATTCATCAACTCAATTTATTTACAATTTCATTGCAATTACGCACTCGATCAATCCAGTGGAACAGAAACATTTTGCTCGTTGCTAGGAACACGTGTGTCAAGTGCAATTTAATTTATCAAATAATTTTTATTGCCACAGTATGTACTGCGCATGTGGTAGCTATAAATCGATGGAAAACGCGGGGCACTCTGAATTCTAAAAGTGAAAAACGATTGATTGAAAACACAGAATGCAAATAGCTGAATGTTATCTATTTTATTATTAATATCATACAGTTATAACTTAAACAATTTTTTTCATTCGCGTATTTAATTTATGCGATTTCTGCAAAAAGAGAAACAAAAAATATATAACTTTTCCATTCTTCTCCCTAAAAAAAATTGATCATCAATGAGACATTAAAGTCACTATTTCCAGTGTTCTATCACCTCTTCCTCATCCCTCCAGTGAAAAGAACAATTGAAAAATCAACGCCGTCGATACATTGATAAACAGAGGATCGATAAAAAAATTCATATAAACAATTATTTTTATAAACAAGTGATAAACGAAGTGATTCGTTGAGGAATTTGAGAGATCCAGATCCCCGAATCCTCAATTTTCCTCTCAAAAATCACTTGATTCAATTGATTTTCTGAGTAGGCAGAGATAAATTAAGAAATTTGAGTATAAAAAAAAAATCGACGACTGGTGCTTAGTGTGAAGGCCCTGGAATTACATATCCATGGAAAAAGTCTCTTCAGGAAGATGCATGCGTACATCAATCATACAAAAATAAGATAAAAACGCGATGCAATCTAACCATAGAAATTGTTGAATACCTAGCCGTGACATTATTATATTACAGAAAGTAATTCTTCAGTTAATTATGCTGAGAGATTAGTACTCATTCAAATTCGGAAATATTTGTTAAAATACTCACACCACTAGTCACAAATGCTCCACAAATCAACTGAGACCTCAAATGTTTATTCTCTGCAGTTAATTAAAAAAATTTAGTGCGGTTGTAATTATTATTTTCAATAGGATGGAGAAAGATGATTTGCAACAATTTTTCCAGACAAATGGACTTTTACAATGTTAAATCATTGATTTAATTATTTGTCTAATCATTTCCGAATGAAAATGAGTATTTCATCAGGTATGATTCAGTCGTACTCGATACCCGGCGTTGGACTTAATCCTCTGTGCATGATTATTTATTTTTCCACATGATTCTTCATCCTTCTCCTTTTTTGACCTTCCGATGAGTTAATTACCTGACAATTTTACCCACCTGCATCAGATCGATTAAAAGTTAATTCTACGAATTCCACTCTAAATTATCACCTAATCTAATTGATTGATTGATAATAACACATTTATAATACGTTGTATATTAAGTTGTTTTTTTTACTCCATATGTTTTATCTCTTTATTTATTCATTTTACGATTTTATGGTAAACTTTAATTTTTCATATAATTTATCCTTCACATTGGAGTAACGCCGGAATAACGAGACGAGGTATCAAATCGCGATGGCCTGGTTTGATTTACTTTTCGTCACAAAAGTCGTCGTTAATATTTCATTACTTTGTTTCTTTACTTTTTAAAAATACTAGGAATTTTTGTATACTCATTTTCCCCTCACTGTAGGAAAGTTACGAATTTTAGTTGAAGCACATTAATTCGAGAAAATCAATGCCAAATAATTTTTCTCAATACGTCCCTCGAGTTGAGAGAAAAATAAAAATCTCCTTTTTTTTTCCTTTCGCTGCCATTTAGTGTTAAAAACTTGTTTCGTAGCTTAACGATTATTTATTTCCTTTATTTCATTCTCTTTGCACCTGTCATCTGCCTAATTCGATCATGTGGACTCGCAAAAAATCTCAGTTGTGATTAGTTCGCTTTTAGATTTGGATTTATTAATTTTTTTAAATATTCTCGGTGTTGGAGTTCATTTCATTCTGCACGAGACAACGGTGTCGTTCTCTTACAGAGTCTTGACCTTCTTCGATGCACTTGATGGCCATTTAATTGTTTAATTTGTTTTTTTATCGTTTGTGGGTTAAGTTTTAGGTGAGAATTTAATTGTATATTTTGATAGCCTTTTCGAGGTAGTTGACTCGGGGCCGCTTTGGGGCTTTGTTGACGTGGTCCAAGCCCAGCCAAGGCCTCTGCAAAGGTGCGTCTGGTGGGATACAGGTTGAATAATTAATCCATCAGATTTTTCACAAATGTTTGAAAATTTTTTGGCACTTACTCTGACTGGGAATGGCTCGGAAATCAGCGAGATTTATGAAGAAATCCGTTTCGTCGGTGATGAACTGCGCTTTGCCCATTGACACGATCGCGAACTTAAACTTTAAAGTTTTTATGAACTCTCATAATGTATTAAGTTCTTACAAATTCTGTAGTGAAGTGATGAAACGAAATGAGTCAACAGAAGAATTGAGAAATAATTTAGACATTAATTTTAATTTCTTGGTATTAATTGAATTCTTCATTGAAGTCGAGTAAAACGAGTAAAACATTCAATGAATAAATAAAATCAATCAATTTATCTGATAAACATTAATTTACCATAAAACAAATGTTAAAGGTGGAAAAGATGAGAAAAATTTGGACGTGAAGTTTTTTTATGTAATGTTAACTCATTCTACATCACCACTTCACTACGGAATTCAATGGTGCAAGCTCACCTTTTCGAATTCTTTTTCTGGTACACCTAGCTTCTTTAATAACCTGTCCTTGACCTTTGTGAAGCGCTCGCCCTACGATGCAGAAGAAAAAATACGCATTAGAAAATTATCAATAAATTCGATATAACAAAGTAAAAAGCGATTGGTTTTGCTAAGATATCTCCGAAATTACGAGAAATAATAAGTTTTCGGTAACAACATTTTTTGTAGATTTCAATCAGCTCCACACAAAAGGTTCTAACAAAAATTAAATTGTCTCCCCGCTTTTCGGAGATATTTCCTGTCGAGTCAACGTATCTCAGAAAGGCAATCTTACATGTTTGATCTTGAACATGAATGGAATTCCAAAAGTTGAGAAAATGTCCTTGTGGAAATGAGCAACAGGTACAAGCATCTCGTCCTCAGCGAGACTCAACTCATCCTTTGGCACCTCCTCTATCCTGTAAGTCTTGGTGCTGAGTGTATTGAGAGTTTCCAAGGGTGTATCCTCTTTAGGACCTGGCATAAGCCTACTGCCATTAACCTCGAGTAGTCTCAATTTACCGGATCCATTCTCAGGGAACTCCACTTGTTTCTTCGCCTCCTCGAGAAGTGTAGCAACAGTGCCATTTTTATTTGGATAGAGAATAATTTCTTTCTCCTCTTTCAAGGATGGTCCAACCCAGATGCATTTAAATTGTTTCTTATTCTCTAGTTCGTTCACTCGAATACTCAATTGTTGGTAGAATATTTTCTTTGTCTTTGGCTTACAGTAGGTAAGAAGATCCTTAAGTGTACCATCGAATGTACACTTCAGGGGGTGACCTGGTAAGTCTTTGTAATTTTGACACTTGAAGAACTGTAATAAATAAGGATCAGTGCCAACTCTCTGTGCCACAGCCTTCGCCATCTGATCGTATGTCATCCTGAGGGATAGATCCATTGTGAATCCTGGATCATTGGGGATGGTCTTGTCACAGAAGGTCACTTCTACCCTGTAGAACAAATCCTTGAAGTAATCTCGACAGGTTGGTAGCTCGTACAACTCATTAGCGCTCTCCTCCTTCTGGAAAACAATGATATCACCGTCCATGAGCTCCTCGAGAACCTTCTCCAGTGGTTCCGTCAGATTTTCAATTCTCTCGACCATATTGGGCTTGATCTCTTCATAGAGAGCAAGTTCAGTATCCGCAGCGAATCCTGCCCTCTCATTGAGAATGGGAATGAGCTCTTGGACTTTGGCTGTCACTGGCATGTAATGGTGACCAGCGTAGTGTATCTTCTTGTTCTTTGGATCATAGAGTTTGAAGAATAGCAGTACATCGGTGTCCTTGTCGAAGGGTGGAAGAGCAGTCAGTCCAGAATCTGGTGGTACAAGCTCAACGAAAACGTGCCAGGGATTGAGATTCTCAGCGCAGGCTGTCATCGTCTTCTGGAGTTCTGCTTCAGGCTCGATCAGGGTGGGTCTGCAGGTCTGATTCGTTCTGGCACTGAATGGCCAGACTCTGATCTGCTCCATCGGGTATTTCTAGAATAGAATTCAGTGATACCGTGACAAATAAATAAATAATAGACAGAATTTAGTTAATCAAATTTAATTTTTAAATCAAAAAGTGAATTGAAAATTTTTGTAAAAGGAAATATCTTTTAAAATATATCTTTAAAAACTCCAGGAACCTGAGTTTAATGGAGTTGACAGAACTTACCAAACTCTCACTGAGTAATTCGAGAAATTCGTTGAGTGTCGCCTGTTTGCGAACCCGAAACATTCGATAATGCGCGTGTTCAGGATCATAGAGATCATTTCCCTGGTGTCCATCAAAGCTATCCTCAAGGAGTACGTTCACAGTCATATACAAGTAAGCCTCGTTTCTTTCCTTTCTTCTTATTTGTTCCAGCCTCTTCTCCTCTTGTAGCCTCTCCACCAGCTAGACCAACAAAATTAAAATTATCCAACTGTATACAGAATTTTTTTCTCCGAGCTTTTTCGCAATATTGCTTTTGCCAATGATCAATGTCTTTTCAATAAATTATCAATTTTCCACTCTTGACGATTGAAAAATTCATTTGGATAGTCTTTTTTTTATCATCAGTCATCACTGCATTTCAAATAATTTTAATTTTGTTCATCTGCCGTAATATTGAGCACTTTATATCGAAAATTATTAAATGCGATTACAAAATGAAAATTATTCAGCAGGCGTAATTCATGGGGAATTAGGTGCATGAAGTATCGATTATTGGATAAGATGCGTTGCGATGCAGCTCTGCTATTAGTTGGAATAAGAAGAGGGCTATGTTTTTAGTTAATTTTAATTTGAAGAATCGGCAAAATCTCTGATGAGTTATTTTGTTCTCAGTGCTATTCACTCCCTTATTCCAAAGAACAGTCTGGATTTTCGTCTAACTAATGAGGAAGGGGTCATGTAATTATCACACCAATGAAGAGAGAAAATATAATACGATGATGTCAGTGCAATTTGATCCAAAACTGATGAATAAAATTCTAGTAATTCACGTGAGGCTTATTCAGACACCACTCCAGGATTCTCCGATGTCATAATGAAACCCAGAGGTATCTGAAAGCGTTGATATAGCATCCATATCAATGTCAGGGCGTAAAAACCGCGTCGAACTGAATTCTACCATCGATAAATCAACGATAAACACCAAGAATTGATAAAAGATCAAAACTAACGATTTTAAATTGAAAAATGAACAATTACACAGGGTTATAACTATGTCCACGTGATTAGTGAATCGAAGGATGATTTGATGAATCAAAATAATGGATTAATCATTATCAAATAAATAAAATGAATGCGTGAAAGTTGATTTCTAGAAATGACGTTAATGTTGTTGATTAAATATCTAACAATTTATTATCCACAACTTCCCATCCTCTCGTCTCTCAACTTTCTCTAGTCTCCCATTATTTTATATAAAATAGTTGGTAATAGCATTCAAAAAGAACCTCGATTACAGCAATTATAAATTATTTATTCTTTCGACGATACTGTGTCACTTTGTTAACTCTCAATCTTCCGTCTTAAATTTCTTTTTTTTTTCTGTTATCCTTCTATTCATTAATATGTAACAACAAATAAATAGATAAGCATCTGTTAATACTCGTAATTCACTATCAACACTGATGAAACATCATTTTGAATTTTAAAAAAGTGTTTCACGTACTTTTTCGACGTTTCTCTCATTATTTTGTAGAAAAAATGATTAATTAAACGATAGATTATCGTCACCGACCACGTCAAATTTGTTAATTATAATAAATAAATGAGGCTTTGCTCTTTAGTTAGAAAGTAATGAAAAAAACTATTACTTCTGTAGATGTCTAGATAATTTAAGAGAGACAATTACTGGGGGGAAAATCAAACGAATCTATTGATAAAGTTTCAGCAATAAATTTTATCAAATAAATCAAAGGTAAAACCACGAGTTAACGACTGAAATTGTCGAAAAATTTTGATTTTCAACATTCCGAACAAAAAATAAACCGTTGATTCAATTAAAAATCGTGGATGTAGAGATTTGGATTACGTGGTGTTTGAGTGGACGGCCTCAACGACGCGTTTTCATTATCACGATTGTCTTTGTTAGTATCGATAACGTCTTTATCACGCTCGCGATTGTACATCTCCTCGGATAGTTCTCTTTGTAGGACGTTTCTGACCTCTTGAGGTATATCCTCTTCTTTCACCTCTTGGAGTACATTTTGTAGCTCTGAGTCACGTATGTAGACCAACATGTATGCATTTGTGCAGTGTTTAACTGCCATTGACATGTCCTCGTCCTGTCCACCGTAGTTGTGCTCAATTGCCTCCTGCTTTGTACACCTTGATACCACGTCGTCATCGAATTTGCACCACTGAATGTACCAAAATTACAATAATTTTTATATCAATTGACACTCATGTACCTATTACTGTTATTACCAATGTAAATTATTTACCTTTCCATCACCAGCAGGATTGATGAAGACAACATAGTGCCCTCCATGATTATCTCCACTGTGTACCAGCACTGCGTGCAGGGTGTAATTAGCAGTTGTTGACTCTTCAACCTGTAGATAGGGGCCCAGGCTTATTTTCTCGTGAAATTCAAATCTGCAGATAAAATTTTTTATCAATCGTCACACTTCCAGCAATAACTGGTTGAATCACAACAGCCAATCAATTTCAACAAATTATTCAACAATTTTATATATATACATATATCAGAGTATATACGTTATACTGAATTTGTAAATAGGTATTTCTCACCTGTCATTGAATTTCACGGAGCAGTCTGTAACTGGATCGTACTGAAATCTCATGAGATGAAGATGAAGAACAGGTGGAAAAGACTGAAAGATAACTCCCTTCTCAGCCTCCTGAAGACCATGCTCTCCAGCATCGTACTTGTTGTCACCATCAAGTATCTCAGTACTGATGTAATCCTTGAATGACTCATAAATATTCTTCTTCCCTTTAATATTCAACTGGATATCGTAGAATGTCTCGACCCTTGTCGACGTGTAATCGATATTTTTGCACTTGATGAACGATGCCATTTTTCCCTCGAATAATTTTGGCACTGTACCTTCGACACAAGTCCCCTTCATTTTACTCTCCAGTTTGTCAAGGAGTACACGCAAAAATTCCTGGACATCGTGCTGCATGAACGAGTCAAGTGTCTCCCATCCAAAGCTCTTGGTTAATTTTTTTGTACCAACTGGTTTATCACAAAATTGCAACTCGTGAAATACCCTCTGCAGTGCTAGGGCAACACTCTTGCTTGAGTCGTCACTCTCAGTTGGCATTTTGTAAACTGCTTTGCGCAGTTGATTTGTGAAGTAGAGAGTCTGGAGGAGGGAATTCATGTAGCAAGTTGCACCTTGGTTCTTCAGACCCACAAAACCTGTGTGTTTTTTGCTGTCCCAGCTCACACCGTGTGGCGCATCAGCTGCTACGTGAACCTGAAGGAGAATTATTACATTCCATATTATACCCCCCAAAAAAATAATGTAAACAGATGAAATAACATAGATATTAAATGAATAATCATTGTAAAGCTACATTAATTCATTTAATTCCTCACAAATAATTCCTAACAATCATGAATTAATTATTGAATTTGACTTTATTTTTTTTTGTGAAATCTTGAAATCTTGCAAAATGTTGAAAAAATTTTGTCCACACCGGGAAATTAAAAAGCTTAATCCAACTGGATTATCTTAATACATGTTAAGAAGTGAGGAGTATTGATTTTGAAGCCATATGGTATGATACCAATTCATATCTGTGGAGAAATACTGTTGACACTGTAGTGTGTTACATTTCTAGAATGAATGCTTTTGTCTCTCAACTGAAGCAGAGGACATTGCAGTCGATCCTTTGTTGTACTGAATTCGATGGATTAATTCTACAGCGAGATAAAGCTACTCTTTCTCAATCTCATTTTTACGTGAAAATCTTCACGTCTAATCGAGATAAGTCGATTTTTTAAGGAGCACGAAGGCTTTGATTGAATTGTTTTGAGAATTAATTTACCTCGAGTGTTATTGAATCATCTTTGATGTACCCCTTGTCCGGGTCTAAGACATCCTGCCACAGCATGAAATGACTGAATCCCCAGTCATTCTCCTTGTTGTAAAACAGATGCTGTATTTCTAAAAAAGATAAACGAAACATCAATTTGATGAATTCTTAAAATCGTTAGTTTTTCAGATATCAATATTTGTCAGCACTTGAAAATTCGAGTTATCCATTTATTGAAATAAATTGACGATTTATTGAAATATATCCGCACTCACTTCTATTGAAAGGCTCTTGGGCCTCTTTGCAGGATAAAAGACGTAGTTCGGCGACAGCATAACAACTCCACGTTGACGATTCGCTCTCGCCATTACACTGAAGGAAAAATCCGAGGGACCTCTGGGGCTGCCTCTCCTGGGTCTGACTCGATCGTGGCATTACCATTATTTTCCATGGTAAATTACGCACGTAGCACGGTGGTGACAGCTGTGAATCCTTCATCTTTGATACATTCTCAACGGTATAGCGAAATGTCGCCTCGGATCTCGCCTCATCTGCAAGGGAAATGCAATTAAATCCCCCCAAATTCCTTCTAAACCGTTTAGTTCAGAATACCTATCGATTTTCTTACAAAAATTCCCAAAAAAAAAATGTGTAGTTTTTAAAGTCGATACCTTTTTTCCTTCAGGTGAAAATCGATTTCCCTAATATATGATAATAAATAGATAAAACCAAATACATAATCACTTCAATCGAACATTTCAATAGTAAATGAGGTTTTTATAAAATAAATACTGCAATAGCAATTAGGATTTATGCACTTTGATTCTCACATATTCCAAAAGGTGATGAAGAACGCATTAAAAAAATCAAAATTCTGGGTATTTCTCACAGTGAATGCGTCACTCTGGAATCCATCTATTATTAGAACTTTCCCTGATGCCTTTGCAAACAGTATAAAAGTTCGGGAGTTGTTCATAATCTCAATATCATCGTTAAAACGAGAAAAAAAAATTACCCTCGTTCATCTCGTGATCCAGACTGACGCAGCCGGGCATATCTTCATTCATGCCAGCAAGTTCGAACTCCAATTCTCCATTTATGGGTGGCAATTCACCCCTGCCATCGCCTCGTCCATCATTGGGTGCTTCTGAAATATTCATTGCAATAAGCCAAATTGTCCAATCATCCCGCCACCCCGGAAAAAAAGCAAATGGAAAATCATGGCTAGAATGAAAATCATGACGATATTTTCCGATAGGTTAGGAGAGCAATAAATGTGTCGATAAGAAGTAACGAGTCGCTATTTCGTTTACCATTCGGATGAAATAACATCGAGCTGATCATTGCACAGAGGGAGTACAATTTTTGGTAATTACTGACACCTTTCATTCCACCTGGAGGTCAATACCAATTACCTTTGGTATTATAACTGAGGTGAATTAACTTTGTACCTTAAGATCCCCACAAATCAGCTGTTAATCTTGATAAAACGTTGACAGCACAGTAAACGAGGAAGGAAAATGGAGCAGTGTCGATTGCCCACTCAAAGACTTGGAAAAAACATTCGAAAAATATCGGAGCTGATTAAAAATAAATTCCCTCAAGAAGTTCTCCAACCCGGATTTAATTAATTGCACCCGTGTAACAGTTGATTAAGCAAATTAACAATCGACTTATTATTTAAGAGTCAGAGACATGACTCCAGACTTAACTTCGAGGGCTTCATATTGTCTTTTTGAAAGAAAATGGGGTATTGATCCCACTGAGTACATCAAATACATTAAAGACTTTTCAAAACTTTGATAAATTGCAGAAACTTCAGTACTCCAGCTCTGATGAGACAAAAAATAAAACAACAATATGTTGAGTGCTTGGACATCCAGAGGACAATAATTTTCACTCTCCCAATGGATAAAAATAACTGGACATTTCAATCAATTGATTCATTCAGCCGACAAAGAATTCCCACAAAAAAGAAAGGAATAAAAATAAAAGAGGAAAGGTAAGAGTCCATTTTGCTGCAGCCGCTCATTTTGTGGTGGTAAATGGCAGAACCAATGAACATGTCAGTTTGACCTGAACCTAGAGAATTGCCGAAAATTCCTTTGTCCCCAATAAAATAACCTCAAAAATGCCCGAATAATAATCACCCCCTAGACTCACCCTCCTGCGTATCCATCTCCTCGACTTCGTTAACCTGTACAGGCGCTAAATTAAGCTGCTTGAGGTTATCCTGTTCATTAACGTGGTTCATTGCGACACCAATGTTGATGGTCGTCTTGTCTGTGCTCTGTACCTCGCAGACGACACGCGCCGTCGAGGTTACTTCTGTATTAATCTGATGATTCGTCGATGTATCGGTCGCCGTTAACAACGGCGATGTAATCCTCTCGTTGTCACCAACTCTCGTATCGTTATCACGTTGTGACAGATAGAAACGATCAATCTCATCAGTTGTACGGTTATAATTTGACATACGTTCGTCAGGTACGTTACCCTCGTTCAATGTATCACTTGTACTTATGCGGCGTACCGTCGGCGACGTTACTTTACCGCACGACGACGTCTGATACTTGCTTGCGATTCGCCCAATTTCTGCGGCCGTTTTATGCCCGTTCTCGAGGCCAAATTCGTCAACGGAAAAACCACTATTTTCACCCTCTGTACCTAATTATTCATTGAATTACCGTAGCATTTACCACCAATTATCCACTGTTTTCAGCTATTTTAGCCTGTCCCCCCCCGCGCCGCAATCTGTGTTTTCTCGTTTGGTTGTTGTTTTTATCGCTGGATGTTGCACTGAATCGCCTGGAGGCACTTATCCCCCAGTTTTTCAAACGATTTTTCTCTTCTGCCAATGAATATCACCTTGATGACTACTCCAACTCGTTTTTTTTTTATTTACTTGAACATCAAGCATCAACCAGTTGGGGGAAAATGGAGATGTGTCTTTTTCTTTGCTTTTTCTCCTTTCGACGGCACTTTTCTATGCACTCTGTGTGGTTTATGTGTCCGTATTGCCAACGAGAAATGTCGTGCCTTGTGTTTCGACGATTCTCCGAGAGGGGGAGATCCTGAGAAAGCGGATTTCCAACCCCCGGTTGTTTTTATGGTGTGGGTGGAGGAAAATTGTGATTTACTTTGGGAGAGATACCGGTCGACTGATGATGCTGATGACGCCGATTTATCTACCCCTTTTTTTTTCGTTTTTCAGGGGTTTAGGGGAGTTATTTGGAGTGAGGGATTGCCGATTGGTTGATTTGATTTTTACGATTTGCACGTTTTTTGATGATCTGAGGTAATCGGTTGGGTCTCTTCGAGGTCAGTCTTTGTTCGGTATTTCATTGATTTATTCCTGAGGGTTTTTCGCGGTTTTTTGATGATCAGGGGGATTTTCCGTGGTTGTGCCACGCCTGGGGTTTTTTTTTTAGGATTGTTGGTTGTTTTTTTAACAGTTTATTTGGACAAGTGACCCCGAGGTGATTCTGCACAGAGTCGATTCACTGACACTTTTAGTTTTTACCGTGTGTTTATGGCGATGGGTTTTTTTTATTTTTATTTGATTATTACCGGGTGATCGGCTTTGTATTTCACCTCTGAAATTGTCCGGAAAATAAACAAAATGGCGACGGATTTAATCTCCCTCCGTCCACACGATTTTGCCCCCGGACAAGCACTCTTTATACGGTTTTCTGTCTCTGTTGGGTGTTCGGTCTCTTTTTGCAAGGTTTGCAATTTATTCGAAGAGAGGGGAGATGGGCTTGTCCAAAGAGGATTGACTAAAGTAGAGGCTCAGTTCTGTGGGTTTGAGTGACCCTACCAGTATTATAGTATCTCACCCCAAGAGAGAGAGGACGCCACACGCAGAACTGGGATGTCTGCCCGTCAGCCGACTCGGTAACTGCCTCAGTAGCAGTCCCCCTGTTAAAGGGACCAGTTGACAGAGTGAATGTTATTTTCTGCGTTACGAAATTGGTATTCACTGAAATTGAAAAATTAAAAATTTTCAAAAAAGTATCAGGGGAACATGAAAATCGAGGAGGTATTCACGAAGATTCGAAAATTCAAAATTTTTGAAAATTATCAAGGGAGCATGAAAATCAAGGAGGTATTCACTGAAATGTGAAAATTCGAGATTTTCAAAAAAGTATCAAGGGAACATGAAAATCGAGGAGGTATTCACGAAGATTCGAAAATTCAAAATTTTTGAAAATTATCAAGGGAGCATGAAAATCAAGGAGGTATTCACTGAAATGTGAAAATTCGAGATTTTCAAAAAAAGTATCAGGGGAGCATGAAAACGGAAGAGGTATTCACTGAAATTGAAAAATTAAAAATTTTCAAAAAAGTATCAGGAGAGTATGAAAATCGAGGAGGTATTCAGGCAAAGTTGAAAATTCAAAATTTTTGAAAAAGTATGGGGGGAGCATGACAATTCAGGAGGTATTCACTGAAATTGGAAAATTCGAAGTTTTTGAAAAAGTATCAGGGGAACATGAAAATCGAGGAGGTATTCACGGAAATTAAAAAATTTTAAATTTTCAGAAAATAAAATTCACCCAGTTGATGGGTCCCTCTGATAGCAGGAGTGCTACTGAGGCAGTTACCGAGTCGACTGACGGGCAGACACCCCACCATTGGGGGCGGCCCCCTCATTCTCTTGGGGTGGGGTACTTCCCCAGAACTGAGCCGCTCAATGGGGGTTTGAGTGACCCCACCGGCATTATAGTACCTCACCCCGAGAGAAAGAGGGGGCCGCACCCAATGGTGGGGTATCTACCCGTCAGCCGACTCGATAACTGCCTCAGTATACTGAATATTACCAAAGAAGTAACTTCGGTTTTGTTCGGCTCGACTGGTGGGGAACACGGCCACAAGTGGGGATTTCGGAGAGTGGGGGTTACGGCCGAGGTTACTCCTCTGACAATAATCACTATAGCAGTCCTGCTGTCAGAGGAACCAATCAACTGGGTGAATTTTATTTTCTGAAAATTAAAAAATTTTTCAATTTCAGTGAAGACCTCCTCAATTTTCATGTTCCCCTGATACTTTTTCAAAAATTCCGAATTTTCCAATTTCAGTGAATACCTTCTCCATTTCCATGCTCCCCTGATACTTTTTCAAAAATTTTGAATTTTCGAATTTCGGTGAATACCTCTTCGGTTTTCATGTTCCCCTGATACTTCTTCAAAAATTTCGAATTTTAACATTTCAGTGAATACCTCCTCCATTTTCATGCTCCCCTGATGCTTTTTTGAAAATTTTCAATTTTTCAATTTCAGTGAATACCTCCTCAATTGTCATGCTCTTCTGATACTTTTTCAAAACTTTCGAATTTTCAAATTTCAGTGAATGCCTGCTCGATTTTCATGCTCCCCTGATACTTTTCAAAAATTTTGAATTTTCGAATCTTCGTGAATACCTCCTCGATTTTCATGTTCCCCTGATACTTTTTTGAAAATTTTTAATTTTTCAATTTCAGTGAATACCAAGTTCGTAACGCGGAAAACAACATTCACTCTGTCAATTGGTTCCTCTGACAGGGGGACTGCTACTGAGGCAGTTCCCGAGCCGGCTAACGGGCAGACACCCCAGCTCTGCGGGTGGCGCCCCCTCTCTATTGGGGTGAAGTACTACGATACCGGTGCGATCTCTCAAACCCCCTAGAACTGAGCCTCTACTTTAGTCAATCCTCTTTGGGCTTGCCGGGAGTCAGGAGTTTCTGAGAATTGAGGAGGTCTAGGTGGAATTGTATGGTCTACGATTTGAAGGTACAGAATTTTTTTATCAACTGGACCATTGCAAAAATCTTCATCCAGTCCCTATCGCAAGGCGCCTGTGTTATTGATCATAGAGAAATATTCCAGAAGACTTTTTTGTGGCAAATTTCATATTCTGCAAATTAGTTCTTATCTGTTTTTTATGTACGTCTTACCGTTTGGCTGGCACACCCCGAAGAACACCGCGCGGGTCATCAGTTTTGGAGTACACGCATTTTTTGTTAGATATCGATTAATCGGAGAAACTGTTGATTTTAGGAGAAAATATCAAGATACGTGTCTTTTCGGAAATTTAATCTGCTACAAAAAAAGTCTTTGTAGTTTTATTCTCAAATGGATTGCTTTCGAAATAAATTTGAAATTATTGCGTCACCCTGCGTTAGAATTATTTGAATCTGTGCGTGCTCAATCAGCAGGCGATGAAGACACTTTGAAAATAAGAAAATTAATCAGGGAATATTCACAAAGCAATTGTTCACCTTTTAAAAAATTCCATTTTGAACAAGTATTTAAAAAAAAAGCTTAAAAAAGAATATTATCACTTTTGTAAATTGCGAAACCGTAGGAATGAGTCATTTACGGGAATTACGCAGTATTACATTATTTTCCATCGAAAGCAATAAGTTTTAGAATCAATTATATATTTACCTGAATGTTCCTTATTTCTATCGATTTTTATGCAACATAAAATAGCAATTTCCACTTTTTATAAACTTTTTCCCACAATTTTAATAATTGAAATAATTAAAGAATTAATTAATTTGACAATTTGATAACGGAGCGTCTTTATTCCAGTAGAAACATTCTACATTTATTATTCACGAAGATCCAACATAGAAAACTCATAGACATTACATTCCGTTGAAAAGTTTGTGCAGTACTGTTCGAAATTCTTGAAATACAAACATTCTATTTTACCACTGTGCTTGGTGTATTTACGAGATTAATTATTGTTCCATATTTGGCTAATTTAGGACCTCCGACGAAACTCCAATCTCTCCATGCCCAACAAAGTGTTATGTATCACAGTAGACAACAGTGCGTTAATTACAAAAAAAAATTAATACAATACCAATAAGTCGGAGATACAGTCTCGTACTTGATGTACATTTAGCACTTTTAGCGAGTCTTTCCTGGTTCTCCATTTATGCAATGCACTGAGAAAAATCATTACATCCGCCAATGAAATTTACGAATGTCAAAAGATTTTGTTTGAAATTAATTAACAAAGGTTTTAGGCATTTGTCCCACGTTCATTAACTTGGCGGAGGTAATTTTTTGACAGTTTAATAAGTCCCATATAGTATTTTTCATTGACTAAACGATTAAGAATAAATTGTTCTCAATTAATTGATGAAATACATTGGCATCGATTAGAAACATTTCATAGCGATAATTTATCTTTTCTTTCCCAGTTCCCGGTAAGGCATGTAATAAGGCAGATCCCTTTACGTCGCCTCGATATTAGCCTATTATATTTATCCACATTTCTTTGACAGCATTGTTTAATAGTTTATTCAATAGTGGAGTGGTAAGACGAGATGAATCACGACATGAAACTGTTGATTTTGAAAGGAAATGTTAAAAGTCCCCTTTTCATTATTTCATCTTCACTCACCACTCTATTATTGTTATTATTATTGTAATTATTATTACTATTATTAGCCATTAGAGAAGCAGCTCAACTCGAATAATCGAGAATTTTTTAGAACTCTCTGAACTCGACGAGATTTTGATTATATTTATTGTTAAGTAATATTCCATACACTGAATTACTGGGGGCGAATGAGGACATTTCCTCTAATAAATATTTTCTTATGGTACTCAGCAAAATAATCAGAAAGTCCCTCTGTACATCAATATTTATTCTATTTCACTGACGTCAAGTAAATTCTCCGTTTAGAGATAGTTATAGGAACTCATCGCACTGCGATTTTTGCGATTAATAAAAATAAATTTTTTCGTAATGAATAAAATCAAAATATTGTTACGAACGTCTTTATTCTTGTCCAGAAATAAAATGATAGAATTTTAATTTATTTTGTGCAGCTCCTTCGAAACTTAATTTTCGATTAGCCAATAATTGAATTTAACATCGAATTAAATTGAATTAATTACCGATTATTGAGAGCAGATTATTTATCTCATTTAGGACCATTATATTACAGCTTAAAGAGTGCAAAATACTGTTGGACGTGTTTTCTCATTTTTCCATGTGTTATTAACAAGAATTATGAATTAAGACAGAGTAGTTCCATCGAATAGACTCTAAGAATTTCAAATTAATCCAGAAATTGCAGCCTGTACCTTGTTTATCAAATTCTTATTGTCCCAAATTTTAAAGTGTCTAAGGTATTTATGATTTCAATAAAACCTATCAATGAATTGTCCTATCTAGTAAAATCTAATACAAAAAATTTTAAGCTCTCCGCTTGAAATACTCTATAAAAATCGAGAAGTATTAATAAAATGAACGTTCAAGAGTAAAGCTTTGATATTCACACAATAAATGTGAATTATTAATTCGACTAGATCAATTGAAGCCCAGCATACCTCCCACTAGCTCATTTAATATTCTCTTTCTTGTTACATAAAGCACACTTGGATAAAAAGTAAGAAAAACCAATTCCAAAAATCTTTTGAATTTGGATTTTAAATCAAATTATTGAAATTCTCCTAAATTGTTGAGAATTGTTTTTTTCTCTGATGGAAAACAAGTAATTACTGCAGTGTACAGACATTAGATGAACTACCAGAGTCCATGGCAGTTACTCGCCGCCTGATTCCCTCGAGGTAGACGTCCCGATTGAAGAGTCCAGCAGCCAGGGGTATCCTGCAAGAAAAAGTGAATTAAAAAAAATGATACAAATATTTACTGTGACATATGTTTATAATAACAAGTGAATTATAATGATTAGACTCACGTATCGATCCCAGGCCTCACAGTGGTCTTGAAAACCCCCCAAACTGGTTTATGATCCGACGTACAAATACTCGGTACGGAGTCATAAACCAGACACTCGATATTTCCATCTTTCTGTGTTGTAGTATCCTGATTTACTCGTCTCATGTAGCCACGTGTTGGCCCCTTTCCCTTGAATAAAATACGATCTGTGTACGCTGGTGCACGTTGTTTTGAGCTCGAGTCGAATGTCTGGGTGCCAGGATCGTACTTGTAGGTCGGTGGAAATGTTATCGGCGCCTCCTCAAAGCCACGTAATACTGCACTCCCAGTTAATGACATACGTAATTGATCTTTATCGAGATTTATGGGAGTCGTTTGGGGAAAACATGCCTGCGACACCCACTGGATCACCTCCTCACGAGGCTGGGCTAAACGAAAATTCAAGTCTCCACACCAGAAAACACAGTCGAAGTTCTGTGTCACGTCTGCAATTATTTGGAGAAGTCAATTAAAGAATTAAATGCAAGAGATTATAGGATTGAATGATATCCCACTAACCTTTACTCTTGTTGTGCTTGGTTGGCAATTCCTTGGGCAAATCGAGATTTCTGACAATTTTCTTGATATCGTGTACCCTCTCCTTAACCTTGTCCTGGTGGGCGGTGAGGTGAGCAGTGACGAATAGGAAACTAGTGCCAAAAATAATGAGTGCAAGTGCCACTGCTCCCTTGGTTTTGAAGGCGGTACCAGGACGAGTGGAGAAACTGTCTTCCTCAGGTACTGAGCAGTACCACACGAGGTCCCTTCGTAAAAACAGAGCTAAATGGAGGGTTCCTAGGCTAGAGCTGGTTAAAAGTACGTGGGAAGGTCCCAGTGTCTCTTGGAGTGCTGCTTCCCACTCTGATCTCTCAGAACAAGACTCTTGAGTTCCAATCGCCAGGATATCCGGAATTGTTTGGATCTCGGTGGGCAGCATGAAGTCGTTCAATTCCTTCGGGGGACTCTGGCCATTCATGTTCCAGGTGCCAACGAAAATCGTGATTTCACGGTTTGGCAGGACTTTCTCAAGTTCACGAGAACCCAGCAAGGAGTTGGCAGCGATACGACCGTGTAAAAAGTTCCTTTAATAACAGAATACATTTGTTCACGAATAATATCAAAGTGATGGACAAATGTTATTTTTTTTCAACTCATAAATCCTCAAATCTCCAAACATTATTAAACATTATCATATTCCTAAGTAGAAACTACAATTGAAATTAGTAACATTTGGAAATAAAAAAAAATTATTTGTCTGAATCTCAATTAATAGAGTATTTAATATTTGAAAAATGTCTTGACTTCGTTTGATTTTCCCGCGATAATTCTAAAATAAAATTATGATTCATTATTCCGAGATTTGATTGTTATAACTTCCCATTAATTAAAATTGATGAAAAAATTCTAAATATATATTTTTTAATACCCAGAGTATTAAAATAAGATTACAAAAGTAATAACCTTTCCCTAGCTTTCTGGGTGGGAATTAAATTGAGAACTTGTGCAGCAAGGAGTGCCTGTTTAGCTAGACTGTCCATTGATACAGCTCCATCATGAAGTAAAAGACGATCTTTCTTCCTGGCAATTGCATCATGAGAGGTCGATCTCGGTTTTAATCGAATTGGTACACTCTTCACAGACTCTGGACTGGAATGTTCTAATGAAGTTGACGGTGAATTCGCCACTAGATTATCCACTGATCTTCTGTGCAACAGCTTGTGCTTCATCTGCATGGAGATGTTGGGTGAGGCCGAGTCTGAGGACGACTGTTCTCCTGCGGACAAACGATAAATGAACGATTAATTAATTAATTAAAGGACTGATCTCGTAGGAAGGAGAGCAAATCAAACACTCAATTAGTGAATTAATTCATTGCAGCCTTCATACAGAAATGATAGAATTAATCGTGTGACATAACACCAGCTGTTACAATAGTTGATTCCAATTGACCCAATTATGGTAATTCGTGAGTGAAAATATCATTAAAAGTCATTGCTGAAGTGCAATATTGCACTCCAGCTATCGACGACGTATTTCAATATTGTTTTTAAAATATACAAGTCACTATTCTGGTTAAAATCAATATGGAATGTATCTTTCCACTCATCTCAATTAATGCATTGATACATTCGTTGTTGTTTATGCAGGAGCGTAAAATATTCCATGCACCTCGTATTTACGCGAGCTTTGCTGAATTATCAAGCTCAACAGCTCAACAGCTCCAGCTCATTTAACAACTTTACTTGAAATTAAATACCAATAGAGAGGAAAACATCTTTTTGTACTAGAAAATAAATAGTAAAATGTGAGAAAATAAATTTCTAGATTCGTAGATGAACTCAGGAATAAATCGATCGATGCAATTCACTTTGGGTTTATTCCATTTCCTCAACAATTGAATGATGTTTTAACATTTGGAAAAAAAAAGTCTTTGGTCCATGAACCCTTGCCCCTAGTGCCTTTTGAACCACAACAATGCGTCAGTTTTATTCGAATTGAAACTTCGAATTCGTGTTTTCAAAATGTTCTCTCAAGGTTTTAAATAGAAGGAAATTGAAATGATGAGGTAAATATTGGATGTTATAGAGGAAAAATAGAAAAGAATTTACATTATATCCATTACATTACGAGTTTGTGATAATATAAATCCTTAGATAGTACATAGATAAATCTTTATATCTATGTATTCGTATCTGAATTTACAACACTAGGTATTGACGCGCGATTTATGCGCGTATGAAAGAGAAAGGAGCATGGAATTGTTTTTAGAAACACAATTAAAAATAAAAAAAAAAGGAATTACACATCCGAAAAAAGGAGTGTATGTTTCAGCTTAAAACATTTTCTAGTTTTCAATTTTTTAATTATATATAAAGTATTTAATTCATAAAACGTTACGTGACTTTTTTTTTAATTAAGGAGCTATCAGAAGGAGGAGTTGTAATTTCAGAGATATAATAAAGAGATATAAATTGCACATTAAACGATTTGTAACATCAAAGGAAATAAATTCTATTCTATTCTATTCTAAATTACACATTCGTAACTTCAACGAAGTAAATGATTGAATTGAAATAATTTTGGAAAAGATTTCTCAAGGAAATCTCTCAATTTCATGTCTAAAACCCGTGATATTGCAAATAGTCTGAATAGAGCACACCAGCAGCAATAGATCACAATCAAAGAATTCATCCATTTAGTTCCATCGCATTAACAAGTGACAAGTGACGTATACCAATCCCACAGTATCCATCAATGCCGTATGCACGTAAGCCGCTTTATTTAGATTGCAAGACCCATTATAACTAAAAAACACGAAACCACAAGTTTTCACGTTCCAGAGACTCCGCACCTTCAACATCAATAAATCATCTCTCCACCGGGACTTCCCTTTCATCAGAGAATTAATTGCAATCGATTCACTAGCGAAGCGAGTTGATTTCAACTATTGGCTGGTTTTCAACAAAAATCTCGAAATCTGAAGAAGATGAAAGCTTCAAAAAAATTCTGTACGAGAAATCGGTATTTTTCTCGTTTTCGGGTAATGATGAAACGGAACCATCGGAATGTGGAATGTATTAATTTTTCCCATTTTTCGACGGCATTATTATCTCGAAAAATATATTTCTTTATCGAGTCTTTATAAAATTTTCTTTTATTAATTCTCTGTTCCTGAAATTTATTTGTTTTTTACCAGTGTGTACGACAGAATTTCTATTTTTAAATACAATTCTAATTCTGATTTGCTGATAGTACTATCTGCGGTTTGAAGAGCATGAAATTCATACCTATACAAAAGGATTCTATAATAACGATTCATTAAAATCTCAAAATCCAATGTTTCCAATCGGAAAATAATTGAAAACAAAAATACCTTTCTTGCACGTGTCCCCAGCCTCTCCATGATAATGAATATAGCTGTACTTTTCCTCCTGTGGATTGTAATGCTGCCTCTCCATTTCCAAGAAAAAATAAGTAATGTACTTGCCAGTGGTAAAGTACAAATCCTTGATATTAATCTCCTCCTCACTCTCCAAGGAGTCATCCTCGGAATGTATCGATTCCGTGGTATCGGACTCGTCGCTGTCGGACTCGCAGTCATGCCCCAAGTGCTTCTTCTCCTTTCGTATCAATTTATCAGTGACCTTGACATCGACTCCAGCTGGTGCTATGATCTCCACGACTTTTCGAATTGCCTCAGGATCGACAGACTTTACTGCACCCTGCACAGACTTCTCCATGAACACTTTTTTCGCCTCCAAATGACGATCAGAACTACTTTGCGCACATGTGGGTGTGCCATTGTCACTGGATAACCTCAAACCACTGGAATCACTCATTTTACCATCAATAAACGGTATATTATCGTGATTATCCCTGGAATACTCCCCAGGTCGTGAGGTCTTGGAGTAATCCAGTGAGTCCCTGGGTTTTGACAGATCAGCTGAAACAGCTGTTCCAGCGTTGTTTACTCCAGCGATTGTTTTCGTGGGGGAACCACACGGCGTCGGTGTTGGGCCCTTTCTCCTGACATTTGACAGGTCCTCATCGCTGTCAGATGATCCAGACTCTCTGCTTTTACTGCGTCTTCCCCCGAAGGCACGGGATAATTTTTCAAGAAAGGATTTTTTCTTGTGACGCTTCTTCGGGGATCTCTCGGACATTTTAAAAACCTCTTCCTTTCACCGGTGTTTATTTTTTTGTCCGCTATTTAAATTTTAAATGCAGTTTAATTACGTGAATTGCATCGAACTTGAACGGCCGGCGTTGAGCTCTCGACTGAATCGTATCCACTACAAATCCCAAGTGCGTTTTCTGTCGTGGGGAGGAGGCACCCACACATTGATCGATTATCCTAGTGTTGCTCTGCACGCGATGTCTGCATTATCCGAGAAAAATATTTGACCTTCGTTCTTCCTATCTTCGGAAAATGCGGAATTTCCATTTTCACGGGGAGGAGGAAAATTCTAATCGCTGGAGAGACCGGGGGAACTGGTTTTGTTTGATTTCTCGGGCTAATATTGGCATGATTGATTTATATGAATTGGTTTGAGGCAGGAATAACTTCGGGGTCGATCGATTATTATGTAAGGATTTTTTTCGTCAATTTTTAACCGCTGAAGATTGTGATAATGATTGATTGTGATTATTTACACTCCACTTTGTGCTACACCGTTGCGAAATTATTCTTCAAATTTTCAGTAAAATTAATGTGTATTATTTGGGAATCGCGAACTAGCCGGTGTGGATTAATAGGAAAATTACGGTTGAATTTAAAAAATGGTGGATTAATCTACTCAATTTGTTTTTCTCTGAAAGAAATATTGATAGACTCGTTTGACCTTTCATGGTCTAGACTCATAGACTTTATGATAGCAAACAGCTCAAGTCGGATAGAAATCAAGTTCCATTGCTTCTGCATGGAGAGAAATATTTAATAAAAATCACATCTTCACATGTTTTTCGTAATTCTCTGGCGAAAGGTAGAAAATTAGAAAAATGAAATCATTTTATGGAGCCATTACGGATTTTTTCAGAGCGTTCCATAATTCTTATCTGAATTTTCCCAGTAAAAAATTGCAATACCGCTACGCAAATTTTCTTAGTCACTTCCGTAATCAATGAGTGAACTCAAGCTCCGTAATTTTTATTAAATATTCCTCTTCTGTAATGAACGGTACGATAGAATATTTCAGAGTTCGATTCTCGATGAAATTCAATTTTTCTCTCAATTCTGCCACTAAAATTTATTAACACCAGACGCATTTATTTCAGGTGATAATTTGAAAGAGCGTTTTGCGTTGAAACTTTCTTGGCAGAATTTTTTGTTCTCAGTGTAGACTAAGTGAAATTAATTGACTTGTTCAGTGCATAGCATCCTCAAGGTTTCATTCGACTAGAACTTGAGCATCGATACAGCCAAAGATATCAATAGACCGACTATATCAATAGATAAAATAGCCTCTTAAAAATAGTTTGTCGAAAAATGTAACAATGGATAAGATGTCTGCTTCCTCGTGTGAGTATCTGCACGTAGAATAGCAGATCGTGCTACGATGTAGAGAAATATTGGATAGAAATACTCGACAATAGACACATCTTTTATTGTCTCTGTCGCTGCATGTGGGATTATGCAAATGATCATCGCCCATACTAATTCGCCTATCTTGACTGGTAATATTCTACTCGTGTCATTTCTCATGTACTTCTACATGACTAGATCTTTGAAAAATTCAAACCTGACAAGTTACCTTATCGCGCTAGAAACTCAAGACGTGAGAAGCTTCGATAAAAATCATTTTATTTCATTCCACTGGGTTAAATGTAAATAGGAAAACAATACCCAAGCTGACGTGAGCTGTCAGTATCGCTTTTCCTTCGTGTAAGCATTTCTTAAAACTCCCTCATTCCTCCTTTTTACAAAAACCTCTTTTCAGCGCATATTTGGAGCGTAATACATTAATTATTGATAATTCTGTGGTACGCTTCAACTTCCGGCTCAGATTGATTTGTTGATTTGCTCTGTTTTAACTTCAATTGTTGGAAAATTACACTTGACATTTCAAGTGACATGAAATTTCGGGAAAAATGTCCAGAAAACCCGTGAAACTGTCAAAAATTAAAGCAATAATTTCCCCCACTTTTCCATTTATTTCCAATAAATGGAATTGAAATAAAATTGTATTTGATATTGAATTTCTACGATGAACATAAAAATTCAAGTTTTCATTGAAAGACCAATTATAATAATATAAAAAACTCAACCGGACCAGATAAATAGACTAATAGATGACTAAGGACAATCGAATAAAAGGTAAATGTATGAATGGGTAAAATAAATAATAAAAATAGACTCTCACCATCAGTGTAGGCACTCTTCCTCTGCTCTTTTCCAGTATTAGTCCTCCTGATCCCGCACTCATGACAGCATTTACTCCTCATTTTGATCACCTGCACCGGTTCATTCCTCTCGATGACAGCCCGACAATTTCCATTGATCGAAGCTATTTCTGATTTAACCGATGCCCGACTCAATGTTGGTGATAACCTGGTTACACTCATGCTCTGTGGAGGTGTTCTACTCCTTTCTGTCATTGCACAGCAGAGGGATAATTTAGTACTTGTGTGAGAAGCCTGTGAATTCTCTATTTTCGAGGTATCATGGGACTCTGAATCCTTGTACGACACCTCCATGCACCCAACCCTCGTCTTTTTATTCATCAATATCTGACAGAGGGACTTTTTCTTCTGCTTCAGACGAGGGGAGATGTCAGTTTTTTGCCCCTCGGGCTCACTGGGCTCCATAATTAATTATTTTACTTCCCATCAATAAATCAATGACTAGGTAAATTCATTCTATCTAATAAAATAGTCTTAAAATATTAACATCCATTTTTGAGTTTTTACTCGTCAGTTCAGCTGGATTCAGCTCTCGAGGGAATGTATCTTATATTCCTTTGGTAAATGTTTCTCTCGACTAGATTAATTGATCAATTGAAGCACCAGATTGACAGGAGCCGATTGATGTTGATTTTTATTCTGTCAGTCACTTTCTGATTCATCAGGGGCTCAGGCCACTAAACCCCGAGGGGTTCTGGAATTCTCACATAACCCTTTTGAATTGACATTTAATGAGACTTAATTGATTTTTTTTTTTTGGGGTTTTGCCCAAGACTGATTCTTGGGTTACGTTTTAGGTCGTTGAGAGGACTAGAATCACATGGATTAATGTAAATTCACATTTTGTTTCAATTATTCAGGTATCACTGGAGGATGATCTAGGATGGCCTCAGGGTTGACTGAAGACTCGAAAAAACTCGCACTCTGACACCTGCCTCCATTTTTTTCGGGGCTGTCAGTGAAAATTTGATGAATGTTTTTGTTTCAGGGAATCACAATATCACTACATCGGTCATTGTCACCCGCATTTAAAGGAGTCGATGAGAGTAATTCGGGTCGTGGATACCATTTCGCCATTGATACCACGGCACTGCGCACGTGACACTGCGCACTTCAATAAAAAAAAATTGGTCAATTATGTGGGGATTGAAACAATAGGGTAAACTTTTCCAATCGAGTTTTCCCGATTTTTCTCGTCTACTGCCCTCTGGAGTGTCACCCTATTGTAATGGGAAAAAATTGAATATTTTTCTCGTTTGTATGTGTGACGGTTTGTGCGCCAAAATACGGCGCAGTGCCCATGCGCAGGTAACGACGAGAATCTCGAAGTTAAAAGTCGAAAGCACTCTCATCTCTCTGGTCGAGATATTGTAGTTGAAGTTGCACTCACCGAGAGAATAGGACCGAACATAACTCCCAATTTTCACTGCAATCACATTTTTTTTCTCGAGAAAAATTCGCTCCACTGAATTTTCCAACAATTATTTTGATCATTCAGAGGATATTTCATCATGAGGGAAATCGTGCATCTGCAAGCTGGACAGTGCGGCAACCAAATTGGTTCCAAGGTCACATTTTCTATTCTATTTCATTTAAATTGTATTTTCCAACGATTTTCTCATCGCATCTTCTTCCACAGCTACCCTCACCTCACCTCACATCCAAACATTTTATTAAATTCCACAAAATCGATAACATGTCATCTTTTTCAAACTTCAATATAATACTCGAATACCGCATGTTGAAAATATCTTTGACATTCGATTTTTCCAATTTTTCTTTCTCTTCTTTCGTGGTTAGAAAAACTCCCATTTTGTTTCAAAATTTCGTTCATGCATTTCGTTTTATTTATTTAAATGTCCCGTGTATGCTCAACATGTAGTGCGAATAACAGATTTTTGCCTACAAAAATGTGACATTCAGAATTGGAACGAATAAAAAAAAAAATTGTAGATGACTAACATGTCACGTTCCTGGAATTGTAATTGAAAAGAGACGCCTGGGGCATATTATTCCGCGATAAGTATTGAGTGTTGAGATAGGTATCTTATCATTTAGGGGCTGTGGATGATTTGATGATTGTTATGGATCTCGTGTAAGTGCAGATATGATCGGAGAAATGAGAGAGAAGTGAGAAAAGGGTTTAGGTATGTGCTTGAAATAACTGGCGTGTTATGTATAGGTAATATGTGTGTAATTCGAATAGACGAGATGTTGGGTACATGCGCAGATGCTATTTTAGATTTTATTTGAATTCTCATGTATTTGGGGAAGTTGGCGGTTTTCGGGGATAACGGTTTCTCGTGTGAAATAGCCTAGTGGCGGGAGTTATTCCTCGGCGTCTTCTTCTTTGTTGAATTTTTTAATCTGTGTGAGACTGAGGAATGGCGGGACTAGCATCCCCGCCCAGAATATTAGGCCCAGCATTCTGATCTTCTGTTGGAGGAAAAGACAACGGACAGGATAAATTGTATCAGAGAATTATCAAATTGAAAAAAATCCTCTTTATAATCACAATTCAGTTTGTAATTCCTTACAATACTCATTTAATTGATCATTACCTTCTTTTCAAATCGATTCATTGCTATTCCAGCCATCATCTTCGTTTGAGTGTAACTCCTGACACTCTCGTTTTTACCACTTTGCAGAGGAAGAAATCTCGAAAATCGAGTGAGAGAAATCATTTTGCTGGCGATATTCCTCTTTGAAAGATCAGAAATAAATGAAGTAATGTTTGCATTCATTTGTTTTCTATGGTCAGACGTATTTTCAATTGTTAAATCACTTCGCAGTTCTGGGAGATAATTTCTGATGAGCATGGGATCGATCCGACTGGCAGATACGTAGGAACGAATGATCTTCAGCTGGAGAGGATCAACGTTTATTACAATGAAGCAGGAAGTTAGTCGAAATATTTCTGAATGAAAAAAAAAACACTTTAAAATTCTCCTATCTGATCGAAAATAGATTTTCCTTTTATTTTTCTCATTAGCGTTTGCAAACTAATTATTTAAAATCATAACATCCCTTTTCTATATATTTATAGTTTATTGATAACATGAAAATTATTTTATCAGACAACAAATACGTTCCTCGGGCGATTCTCGTCGACCTTGAGCCAGGGACTATGGATTCTATTCGCAGTGGTCCAATTGGGCAGATCTTCAGGCCGGATAACTTTGTTTTTGGACAGAGTGGAGCTGGAAATAATTGGGCCAAGGGTCACTACACCGAGGGTGCAGAGCTCATCGACTCTGTTCTGGAAGTTGTTAGGAAGGAAGCGGAAGGATGCGACTGTCTCCAAGGATTCCAGTTGACCCACTCCCTCGGGGGTGGCACTGGTTCAGGAATGGGGACTCTATTAATTTCAAAAGTCAGGGAAGAATACCCAGACCGTATCATGAACTCGTTTAGTGTTGTTCCATCACCAAAGGTACTTGATTCACTCGGAAAAATTCTAAGAAATTATTCAATCATCAATTAATTTTTATATTATTATTCATTTTTTATTCAGGTGTCAGATACTGTTGTTGAGCCCTACAATGCTACTCTGTCAGTTCACCAATTGGTGGAGAATACTGACGAGACATTCTGTATCGATAATGAAGCCCTTTATGATATTTGCTTCCGAACCTTGAAATTGACTTCACCTACTTATGGTGATTTAAATCATCTCGTGTCAGTGAGTGAAAATATTGGACTATTTATTGTGGGGGAATTGTCTTTTGGATATTTATTATTTGTTGTCAATTTTTTAGGTCACAATGTCAGGTGTGACAACGTGTCTGAGATTCCCAGGTCAATTAAACGCTGATCTGCGTAAATTGGCAGTGAACATGGTACCATTCCCACGTCTTCATTTCTTCATGCCAGGTTTCGCTCCACTGACTGCCAGGGGAAGTCAAGGATATCGTGCCCTAACTGTTCCAGAACTCACACAACAGGTCAATATCGAATTATATTTATACTATATTATCTTTCAAACTTTATCAACATTTTTTGAAAATTATCATCTCAAAGTGTTGATTCTATTGTTCCCGTTATAATCCAGATGTTCGATGCTAAGAACATGATGGCAGCTTGTGACCCTCGTCACGGTCGATACCTGACTGTAGCTGCGATATTCAGGGGTCAGATGTCGATGAAGGAGGTGGACGAGCAGATGTTGAATATTCAAAATAAAAATTCAGCGTACTTTGTGGAATGGATTCCAAACAACGTCAAGGTCGCTGTCTGTGACATTGCCCCCAAGGGCTTGAAGATGTCGGCGACCTTCATCGGTAATTCCACAGCCATTCAGGAGATATTCAAACGCATCAGCGAACAGTTCACTGCTATGTTCAGACGTAAGGCTTTCCTCCACTGGTACACAGGCGAGGGCATGGACGAGATGGAGTTCACTGAGGCTGAGAGTAATATGAACGACTTGGTGTCTGAGTATCAACAGTATCAAGTAATTAGTCCTCAGATCCACTCTAATTCCCCTGCTTTTTGAATAGAGTAATTGATATTGACGAATCATTTGTAGGAAGCGACTGCAGAAGACGAAGAAGCCTTCGATGACGAGGAAGTTCTGGATGAAGAGGCAGCAGAGTAAAATTATATCTTCCCACACGATTTTATCCCTTTTTTGAGGAATTTCCGGAAGAAAGACGACTTCCCTTCCTATTAATTAGACCACGACTTCCTTAAGTATTTGTTTATAACTTTTTTTGTAGAACGAGTAAAATATATCCTTACGAACCAGAATGATTACAATTTATTTGCACTAATCCTCAGATAATTCCAGTCGTAAAGAATCTATTGAATTCATTCCTAAAATTTTTTATTGTCACAAATTTATTATACAAAATTATCGTCTCTCTCTACATACATCTTCCTAATACATTTTTTTACAAAACTATCTGTATAAATAATCGGATACAATCACTGAACTAGAGTCATAAAAAAATTAATAATCATTACAATATTTTTACAAAATGTCTTCTAGGGACACATTCCTTCGAATTGAATTACTGAATCCTTCTTTATACTTGTACCAAACTCCATACTTGGCGACTAAATTCCTGTACTTTTTTCCAGGTTTCTCCGCCTTCGGCGAAGTTTCGGGATTAGTATCAACGACAGGTTTCTTGAATCCCTCAAAAAAGTTTCGGAATTTCGTTGTTTTGGGAGTAACAATCCTCTCCATTTCACTGATATGGTTCGGTCTGAATGCATTAACTGACGGTATGATCTCAGGTGTTTCATTCACTCCCTGAGGAGTTTTGGACCCTTCAGGATTGCTGGAGGCACCCCGGGCAAGAGTAGCTCTTTTGAGCCTCTCCACCTCAAGCTCCTGAGCAACAATCTGTTTAACAGCATACGACAATCCCCTCCGGGTCTTGCATTCGGGGAAAATTCCCACCTCGAACAAATCAGGCTCAATCTTGTAATCCACAGCTCCATCCTCACTCTTCTCCTGGACGAAGGAGATCCCCAGATTAAGCATGACATCAATCAGTCTCTCAAGTTCGATTTTCTCTTTAGTTGAGTAGAGATTGCTGGCCACTGATCTCAGCTTTGGATTCAAAATCTCAAACAGAGAAGGCGCGATATCCAGGATAATGGTCGTAGTGTCTTGCCCTCGAGACTTTCTGGCGACTGCCAATATTCCCATGGTCTTCGTGGTCTTCTGCCAGACGTCTGTTGCTGCATGGGGATACGACAACTTAGGATTAACTGTTCCAGCGAAGCCAAAGTGCCAATTGACAAAGCAATAGCCAGTGTATGGAGCCACTGTCCAGTCCTGTTTTGTATTGATGACTGTTGTGATTCTGTCGTACAGCTCAAACCATTCCAACGACGTCGCTACTTTAGTCATCTTCTCGTGACAGTTCGGGGGATAGTTCTCGAAGACCCCCTGGGTCAATCTCTCAGTGTTCTCACCGTAGGATACTTGCAGGATCCTCTGGGCTCGTTCCCTAGGGGTCAGAGGGCCAGTCCTGACCATAGGAATCTTGAGAATTTCTCTCCACGCCTCGAAGATGGTTTTCTTCATGTCTTTGTCAGCCAGACTGTGACTGGATTTGCCGCAGTCTGTCCCCAGGTACTGAAGGGCACCCAGACAGGCTCGAATGTCACAACCAGATTTCTCTGCCAATTGGATTAAGGTGCCCAGATCAATATTCAGGTGTTCACGACGGGCTATCGTGGCTAGACGATCTGCCAGGTTCGCTGGAGAGACCTTCGGGACATTTATTATGTACGCCATTTGTCGGAGAGATCTTAATGACGGGGTGTATGCCTCATTACAAATGCAAATGACAGGCCTCTTGCAATACTCATTATCCTTTGCAGAGAGTTCTTTCGATTTTTTACCTTTACCTGTTAATTTCCCTTGAACAAATTTCAAGAGGAGTTCGACAGAAGCTACTGGGGCACCATCAATTTCGTCGAGGACTAGACAGTTGGGCCTGGGGTCTGCTCCCATCACGGATCTCATCTGGGTTGAGGACATCAGTGCCTGTCTGAAAGCCTCTGGAGTTCTCTCATCACTGGCATTAATCTCCACAACATTGTACCCAGCATGTCTTGCCACTAGATGAGCCAGAGTAGTTTTTCCCAATCCAGGAGGACCAGCTAGCATCGCGATCTTGTGCACAGGGAATCCCCTCTTGTCCACCAGCTCCACCTCCTCCTTCTTCCCAAACTTCTTCCACCCAGATTTCTCCACGTGCTTCTTAAGCCCATGTTTCTTCAAGGGTTCACGCCCAAAGACAATTTTGTCCCAGAGTTTAATCCAGCGTAAAAAGTTGCGATTAACAGTCTCATCTGATAATAGCTCCCTGTATGACTTGGGACGATATTTGTCCACCCAGAGTTCATCAGCTACCGATGTTGCTTCTTCCTGGACCTCAGGGACAGACAGGCTCTCCCTCTTCGCTTTCTCAATGAGTATTTTCTCTGCCTCCTCCTTCAATTTCTCGTAATTAACTGTGAGAAGACCTGATGTTGACGCAATCCCCACGATTTTCACTGACTCCTTCGGCCGAAGTCTAACGTAAACTCTCTGAGAGTCCGCGGGTCTCGTCAGTGCCACGAAATTCCAGGATGGAATCTTGAGGGACACCGTCTCCCTGGGAGTCAATCTCTGGGAGATTCGTGTCACCTCTGGGTCCTTTCCCGCGCGCATCAATCGTTTCCTCCGCAGCTCTTCGAGAATTGTCGCTATCACTTCCTCCGGCTGATTCCAACGAGGTCTCTTATCATGTCTCTCGAAATCGTGAAAATCATCAGGTGCCAAGTCAAAGTTTGAGGCAGTTGAGCCATCATCGAGGAGCTCTGCCACGTCCTTTCGCAGTTCCTCGAAAGTGCGTTTCTTTCCCTTCTCTGGGGGAGCTTTTTGGGCTGACGAGGTGGAAATTGACTCCTCGAGGGAATTGATCTCATCCTCTGTGGGAAAATCATCATCCGTAAGGCATGCTGACACCAATGATGAAGTACCATTTTTATTTACTGGTGCAGGTTCTCTAGGTATTTCTGGTGGGAGAAAATTTAAAGTTTTTTAAATATGAGACATTTCGCTTTCAAGGCCAAAATAACTCACCATTCGACGACCCCGAGGCTTTGCTCAAATCATTTGTCACGAAATCATATTCTTCATCAGAATCTGGAAATTCGTTCTCGTCCATTTTGATCTATATAATATATCTATTCAATATCCCAAAAATACTCAAAACCCTTATTAATCACAATCAACCAACTCAATAACCATTACCCCCGACATTTCATTCTGACCTGTCATATTGAGGGTTATGAATGCTCTCAAATTTTCTGAAATCCCGCGCTCCTCAGAATATCTCGCGCGTTCGACTAATCGACCGACGATTCACTCGATTTTCCCGTCACACTACATACATACCTCCATCACATATATATCTTCCACCCGTCACTGAATCCGCCTTCTATTCCAGGAACTCCCCATTACAAAAAAAAGAGAAAAATATTAGATTATCGCCTCCCATGGGCTGTGCACTAGTCGCTGAATTGCGATCAGAGATATTTTATTGACCTGAAATGAATAAAAAAAAATCATAGTATATCTTCCCTGTGACGTAAATATGGAGTTTATCGTAGTTATGTGAGAGTGAGCCCAAAATTGTGTCTACAATGCGGAAAGAAAAAGAGTCGAGTAGAAATCGAGTGTGTTGACACCTTTGACAAGTGCGCTCTGTACCAATAGTCACCGCACCTGTCCGGACACTATTTCCTGTCTATTATTTTCAATTGTCAAGCCGCCAGCGGCATAAGTGCACAAATACAAGTGAGAAAGACTCGGTGGGAGTGAAATTTTCTGATGGGTAAATGATAAATAATGCGAACGTATGTTGAGAGACAAGAGAATATCGGTGAGTTTTGCATTAGGAAAAGTGCCAAATCCGTGGAAATCCTTGGTAATGTCAGGTGGACATTGTCGGCATGGAGGAGGTAAGAAAGAAGGATCGTGAGGATCGTGAGGATCGTGAGGATCATAGGTGTGATCTTGAGGATGAAGTCGTTGTCGTCAGGGGAAATGGTATTGTTGGATGCAAAAATTTGGATGTGCTCCAAGATCAGGCCAATGCCAACTCGAGGTGTCAGGGGAGCGATTGCGAGAGGGAGGATTCACTTGAGAAAGAGGTTTGTGGAAAAACAGCTCAGAGTCCAGCTGCTTTGGCATTCACCATTGATTTTGGAAATGGCAGCAAGGAAGTTGACACTGTCAAGTATCAGAATCTTTTTCAGAGGTTCGCCAGGCACAGGAGGAATGTCTCGACGTCCAAGGTATAATATATTTAATATTGTGAATAATAATTGTCAATCGTTAATTGATAAGAATTCTTTGGATAATTTTTATCTGATGCTTCAAGTGGTTTCGTTCTGGTTTTCAGATAGAGATTAAGACAAGTCAATCGTCAGACTTATCCCCAAATTTTGTACAAAAAACTAAACCCGTGAGCAACTACTCTGAGGGATACTTCAGCAGTGAAGATGACACGAAACGAAAAGCTGACAAATTATCGCAGAAATTGAAGGAACTAGGTACGTTTACTCAATCTGCTGCACGAATATTCTTTGACTTGAGTATTTTTTAATATCGGCCACTGGGTAAGATTTATATATGGAAATGTTGTATGTGTCCGGCGAATGAGTCACAGTGAAGTCATCTTCACACGTTGAGCCAATGGCAGAGGCAACGTGTGGCCATTAGTATTCCGTGGGTATTAGTCTGAGGTACATTGAGCTCACCTTCGGTTCCTCAAGAGGCTCAAGGCTACTATCCAAAAATATACTATTAAAAATATTTAGTTGATTGACAAAACATAATGTGTTGAGGCTAAGACCCTCGGTAATTACGAAATCGTCCCCTCATCGAGTGATTTCGGTGTAAATATTTCGCAGAAAATAATTTATCAATTGTCTTTTGAATTTCAGGTTTAAAAACATCACCAAAAGGAGTCTCTCTTCGTCATCCCTTAATGTCTCGTTCTCTCACTGAAAAACCCACGGCAAATCGTCGCTCCTATCACGAACCCTCGCCTCCTCGCCCAGACCTTTCCTACTCCTCCACGATGAACGACCTGAGTCGTCTCCAGAATGCCCTGGACGAAGACCGTTCAAACCGCGTGCAGTACTCCCCGGAGAAAAAGTACACCAAAAATATCGAGTACCTCGAGATAAATCACTCTTACTCCTCGGAGAATCTCGATGAGCCTCACGAGACCTCGGAGAAGCTCAAAAACACCAGCTACACACCGACCCCCTCAAACAATCCAGGATCTCTCCAAAAACCGAGAAACGTCCAGATGCTCTGTGTAACGTACTCCGGAGAGTCTAGCACAGACCCAAACATCGATAAATTCAGTGTTAGCAACCTGGACAATGACTCCGAGGAGACAGTGAGTGAAGCTGGTACGTATACAGTTCATAAGGACTACACAGACGAGGAAAAGGCACGAATGGACATCGACAAGACCTTCAGCGTTGGAGTTCTCACTGAGGACGAGCAAAACTCGTCATACGGCCACCACTTCCAGATGAACACCTCCAGAGACTCAAATTCCTGGATTTCTGAGTGGGCGACTCAGGTAGCTGAGCACAACTCCCTGCCTCCTGCCATTGGCGGCACAACAGGTCGTACCCCGCCAATGAGTCCCTCGAAAATTCCCTCCCCCATCTACTCGAGATCTAAACGTCTGCCAAAAAGTAGACACGAGGCCAGTGACAGCAGTCTCGATGTAGAGGTTCACCAGAGGATGGCCTCAACAATGATAGACTCTGGAGGTGAATCAGACGAGGATACCAGTAACAGTTATCCCACTCCTCCACACAGCTCTCAACGAACTCCAACTCACTCGCTAGTTCGCCGAGGTAGTCTCTCTGAGTCACTCTTCAAAAGAGTTAATACGTCTGATTCACGAAGAAGCATGAGAAAATATACGGATAAGAAAGAGGAAATAAATGTGCCAAAGAGTCCGTCCCACATGCTGGTAAGACTTCACCTAGGCCGTTCCAATTCTGTTGAGAATCGAGGGAATCATTCAGATACTGCAGAGTCCAATTCCTCGCGTCGCAGTAGCTTGAGAAATTATCACGAGGAGAACTTCAAGCACACGAATAGTCCGATATTAAACCGTTTACGATCGACAACCCCTAAGTTAACGAACAGTCCAATCCTGGGACACAAGGCATTAGCCACTAGAACACTGACACCGAGCATCGAACGTCCAAAGCAACTGGTGAAACCTGGAAGTCAGTCCAAGAATATTGGCTACTTCACGTGTATGGAGAACAGTCCCTACATGTTGAGGAAGTCTCTGAGCACGTCCAATTACCGCGAAGAAACGTCCAAGGATAAATTACTGAATCTTCATGGGAGTCCAATGCTGTCGAGGAATACGAGTATTCAGCGTTCAACCTCCAACACCAGCATCAGGACCATGAAGACGAAGAGCATGTTGACGAGGAGAAGCAGCTTCAACGACAACAGCAATGAGAGGTTAAAAACAAAATTAGCTAATTCGGATAGCAGTTCCGAAACAGGAGAGGCTGTGACTCCAGCTCCACCAATTTCCTCAGGAATAAAGCTCAATAGAACGTTCAGTATGCGTCGTGCTCGTCTCAGCTGTGAGTCAGAATCCACACCGAATACAACGCCTGAGGAACGACGAAGAAGGGCACAATCAGAAATCAAATCAGCTCCTACATCAGCTCGACAGCAGCATCACCGTGGGAGGACGAGTAGTGTTGGTGCTAGTAACAAAGAAGTCTTCAAGAAACCTGAACCTCCTAGACCAAGAGGCCCATCATTGTCGAGAACTGAGGGGGGTAGATACAGTATGAGAGCTCAGAAGACTAGCCCGTCCACAAGGCCTAATCAAAAAGCTAGTAAAGAGGGTAAAAATTCTGGCAGAAGCAACTCAACGTTGACGTCCAAGGAGGTGGAATTTCAGAATTGGAAGAGAAGAAAGAATTATGATCCCATGAAGGCAGCTGCTGAGGGAAAGAAGAAGCTAGATGTCACCAGGAAGCATCACAGTACAGAGGATGGAAATAGCAGGGATAATTCTGTCCTGAGGTCTGCGAGCTTCCATGGAACTGGTGGGGCATTGTCTCTGGCTGATGACTGGTCTGATAATGAATTCAATTTCAGGGGAGACGTGCAGCCACCCCCATGCAGTCCTCTGGGTTCTGACAGTGATCTGGATACTTCTAGTTATCTTCAGACTACTCACAATGTCATGTCGGCTATGTCGGCTAGGATCAATGTGTATCAAACTGGTGCTGTTGACTCTGGTGGAGAAAGTGATGAGGACACCAGTCACAGTTTGAGGCAGGGGAGGATAGGGCGAGAAACCAGTGACACTGAAAGCAGTGAGGAACAGGGGAATAGAAATTTGGGATTCAATAGGAGCTACGCGGGGAGGAGGAGCAGGGAACCTGAGGCTAAGGTACCGCAGGTTAAGGCTAAACCAGTTAATAGTGGGAGATCCAAGTCTGAAGGGACCAGCATCGCTAGGACTGACTCGGGCAGGTTCAGTGTCAGGCCGACTAAAGGTGCTGTTAAGGTGAAGCCTAAGGAGGTGAAGAAGAAGGAGAGTCTCGTTAAAGAGCAGGAGATGCAGAATTGGAAGAGGAGAAAGAGCTATGACCCTATGAAAGCTGCTCTGGAGGGGAAGAGAAAGGCTGGCATGGTGAAGAGGAGTCTCAATTCCGAGTCTTCCAGGTAATTATCGAGGGTGTGAGGGTCGTAGGAAGCCAAGTGGTACAGTTTTTACATTTGTATTAGAGTATTAGGAAAGGAAAGAGTAGATTGAGGAAATTATGTATCCAAAATATTTAGCAGTGTTTTTATCTCAATTAATTTTTTAATTTTTAATTATGCGTGGTTGAATGCCACAAAGAAAAACGACAATGCCCACTTGACATCCTTGATTAATGTAGATACCAGTTCTGGAGGTATTGATGTAGTCTCATGATCAATTTCATTTTTGCTAGGATTCGTAGCGATCGATTGTAGAGATAAACCATCATCTGAGAAAGTGGTATGATATGGCTTTCAAGAAGGCACGGTGTTTGAGTTTATGGAAACGTTTTTGTTGCTTTACCGCATTTATTGGCTTCGTTGCACAGATATTTTATCATTCACCAGTGTTTTTTTAAATAGTTTATTACGTTGACTTACATAAAATGGCTTTTTGTAGTTTTTCCATGAGATAATGAGCACAGTTGCAATGGAGGTGAATTGACTGTTTATTTTAGGTCAATGGAGTTTAATAGAAATTTTTGGATTTTTAGTGTCCTGAGATCTCAAAGCTTCCATGGGCCAGTGACTCTAGGCTTAAGTGAATGGAGTGACGAAGACATTTCAGCATCAGCCGACGAGGCACCCATCTACTGAAGTCACCTCCACACGAATAAAAATTCTCGAAAGGCCAAGTCTACAATCTCGAATTTAATTTAATTGAATATTTAAATGATGACCCATGACTTTTGTTCTGTTTTTGAGGAGTTTATTATTGATGAGAAAATTTATGTAATAGTTTACTTTGAGATGCCTTGAATTCATTTCATTAAGTTATCAAACTTAATTGTTGAACTTGAGAATGTACTGGAAAACATTCTTTCAGGTTTGTTTTTCTGCTTGGGTTTGAGAGTTAGCTGTTATTGAGATGAACAATTTAAGAATTGGAATTGTATAAAATTAATTTAAAGTGATGAATTACAAAGGGCGTTCAATCCCAGATCTTTAAATAATTGTACAAAATGAAACTTATGAAGATTTTATCAATTAGTTCGTGGTATTTTCATATTTTTCAGAGTTGCTAATAATGATAGCTTTACAATAATCCTTTTCTTTTGTTTTTTTTTTCTTTTCTCAGAGATGTATATTTATCTCATTCATCACTTTAAGGTTAAAATATTTTCAGAGTTGAAGGATTTGTTGAATGCTAAATACGTGCCTCGCCACTGAAATATTCTGAGACACTATTGTTAAGATATTCAATTGAATTTTGGACAAAGATCAATTTTTTTACAATTGAAATTTCGTTGTGATTTTTTTTCTTTAATTTTACCAATAAACACATCTAACAAATTATAAAAATTTAAATTACATTCATCTATTTCCTTCAATCCCTCCCAATTGCTGAGCACTTGAAATTGTAATGTACTATCAGTCGTGTGTTAGACAGAGATTAGAATCGTAACACCTCTCAATGAAAATACAAAAGGTAAATAACGACTCGTCATTGTTTACAAACATCAAATGTCAATTTGATGAATGATTGACAATATCATGAATCTTACAAATAATAATTAGATATTTTAATAAATCAGTTTTCCGCAATAATCATGACAGTTCATGATTAGACATGACGCAATTCTAATAACGACACGTGTGTTCGAAGAAAAATTGAAGTATCAATTACCATTTAATTGTAAGTAATTTTCTCTTATTAAGTTTCGTAACCCTCGGAGCACAGCACTGGACAGTCCACTCGTCAATGAAAATGAGGTTAGTCCATATTTTACTTTTTTTTTTCTCGTTTGTAAAAATTTCATTAACGCAATTCACCAGATCGAGTTATCGAGTGTTTCATTACGCCTTACTGAAAGTTCTATTCAAAGTGCAAAGCGTTACTGATTATAAAATTGATAGAGTAACAATTAATGATCCTGAATGATGATCATTATCAGTAATTGGGTAGATGAATCATAATAATTGCTCGAGTAATTGTTTCTCATTGTACTTTGTCTCCATCCAGAGATAGAGAAGAGGAGGACTTGTGAATTATGGATGAGGGTTTTGAGGAAAATGTTGGCCAGAGGAAATCCCTTTGCAGAAGAATCAGAAATGTCCCAGAGAGTGTTGCTGCTGGGGTCCAGCATTTTTTCTACAGGTAAACCGTTTTTTATTTTTTTGTTTATATCGTCATACTTTAGGGAGGAGAGAGGCCTTTTGGAGAATTCTCCTTCAAGCTTTCCCACTGTAATATGAAATAATTAAAGAATAATTTATATTAAACAATTATTTAATGAAGATTGGGAATGAATATTGCGCGATCGCCGATGCAATGGATTGCTGGAAGTACTATTATCGTATTACTCTGTCTCTCTGGTCTTTATCGCTTTCGACAAGAGAAGAATCCTCTGAAATTGTGGGTTCCACCGGATTCCGATTTTGTGAGGGATACAGAATGGCTCCTGGGGAATTTCGATGAGGGACAGAGAACTGAAACCATGATCCTCACTGCTGACAATGTTTTGGATCCCTTCGTACTCTATGAGGTATTAAAAGCCAAGTCTCACGAGATAATTTCCATAATTACCTTCAATTCTAATAGATTCCCCGATATTTTACAGTTAAATGAAATAACGAAACGAATTATATCACTACAAACGAGCAAGAAGCCAGTATTAGCGTGGACAGACGTTTGTTTCAAGTGAGTGTATACTCAAATAATTTTTTCTCATTCCATTTCATAAATTGAAATTGAATTGAATGAATTGAAATTCGTAACGTTTTTCTGCCCAAGGGTTCCTCTGATAACTGAATACACGATACGGAATAGACGAGGGGTGGACGACGATTTTTTCGATGAAGAACCAACTGCCAGAATGAATAAAACGAAATTCGAACCGAGTGTTCATGCACCGAGTGATATTTACTGCAAGATATTTAATAGTTTTCCCAAGGGCTGTCTTCTGTTCAGCATACTGGATCTCTGGAACTTCGATTCTGATCTCATTAGGATTCAAACGAGAAGAGATATTATAGACAAATTGCATTCGACTAAGCTGAGTCCCACCTTGGGACACCCCATGAATTTCTCAGAGTTATTGGGAGGAGTTGAGACTGATTACAAGGGCAGAATCGTTTCTGCCAAGGCTGTGAAGACTTTGTGGATGGTCCACATCAATTTTACGAGTATTAACATGGGAGAGAGTGGCAATGTCGTTGGAACTGCTGACTGGGTAATGTGAGTTTTTATTCTGTTGCAATCACTTCCCGAATGATAACAACAATGAATCATTTCTCAACGATTTAAATCCTATGTGAAATTTTCTACGGAAAATATTTGTCTAAATAGTCCTCCTGATTTATAAATGCAAAGGGAATGAAATAATAATGTTCAAATTTGTAGTTTCAATTGTAAAATTATCTTTCAGGCCTCAACTAGCGTATTAGATTGGGAAGCAGAGTTCGTGAAAGAGCTCTGGGCAAATGCTGAACGTCTGAAGAATGAAAATCCATTCAATAAAACTATTAAACTATTTTATGAAGCCGGAAGGAGCTTTGGGGACGTGAGCTCCTCAACAATGTTCCAAGATATTACAAAACTGATGATAGGCATCATCCTCATGACTCTATACGTACAATTTATATTGTCTAGATTTAATTGGGTAGAATATCGTGTAAGTACTGCGTCTATCAAATCCTGACGAATTTAATTTAATTTTTTTCCTCCCAAATTTCCTTTCAAGTTTTGCTTGACAACAGCAGGACTGTTGTGTGTTGGCGGAGCTTTTATCGTAGCAGTTGGTGCATGCTCTCTATTTAAAGTACCATTTGGCCCAGTCCACTCGTCATTACCCCTGATGCTACTGGGCCTAGGTGTCGACGACATTTTCGTGATGATGGCATCGTGGAAGGAGCTGATGAGTGTTCAAGAGCATCGTGAAAAATCCCTGGAGCAGAGGATTGCCATGATGCTGAGTCATGCTGGAGCTGCCATTTGCATCACATCTCTGACAGATGTTGTGGCTTTCATCATTGGGGCATCGACGGTGAGAATTCAATCAATAATTAGTCGCACGAAATGATTTGTAATGATAAATACATCTTTGCATAGATTTTACCTTCACTGGAATCGTTCTGCATTTATGCAGCAGTTGGTGTTCTCGTGACGTTTCTCCTCCAGATCACCTTCTTTGTGGCTTTTTTTTCGTTGGATGTAAAAAGAGCTGAGAGTAAAAGAAACGGAATGTTTCCGTGTATAATTCATAAGAGCTACGAGCCGTCCATTAAAAATCGTGAGAGCAGGATATCACGGATCATAAACTACATCTATTCGAAAATAGTGCTGACGTTGCCTGGGAAATTGCTGGTGATAGGGATCACTTTAGGTATCACTACTGCTGGTGTGATGGGAACTCTGCAGCTGCAGCAGTGGTTCGATATGAATTGGTTCCTCCCTGAGGGTTCGTATTTACAGGAATTTATCAGTGTTAGGAACGCACAATTCCCTAACAAAGGATATCCATCGATGGTGATCCTTGGGGACTTGGATTATCACACCGAGTTACCCAAGATCCTCGATTTCACTGACACCTTGAAAAATCTCTCGACTATTGATCACGTGGACTCTTGGCCACACGATTTTTCTGATTTCGTGAGAATGTACTATGAGAAGGACGTCAAAAGCCAAACTTTTACATCAGAAGAATTTCAATTATATCTCTCCAAGTTTTTATTCAGCCAAATGGGCGGAAAATACCAGGGGAATTTTCATTTCATCTCAAATATCACGTGTGGACAGAGTGCCCCAAGAGTGAAGGTATCAAGCATTAATTTTGCTTTTAAAAGTTTTTCTGGTCCTGATGAATGGCTGCCAGCGATGGACAATGCTAAATTGACATTGACTGATGCCAATATCGATGGACTCGCCTTCATCTGGAGCACTGTGTTCGGTGCATGGGTGACGGATAAGGTAATCGCGACTGAAGTGACGAGAAACATATTTCTCGCACTCATCTGTGTAATGGCTACCACATCAGTGCTGATTGCCGAACCGCAGACGTGCTGTTGGATTCTTGTGTGCGTTAGTTTGACACTTGTTGACATTTGTGGATTTATGTACTACTGGGGATTGAGTATCGACATTGTTTCATGTATTGGTGAGCAAAATATTTATACCAAACTTTACAAGCAGTTTATCTATACGATTCTGCAGAGTCGACAGAACTGTGAGTTCATCATTCATCACTTTATTAATCATTCGAAACCGTTCGACATTCGTTTTTAGGTCTGGAATTAGCTGTTGGATTGAGTGTAGACTACGCAGCACATGTAGCTCATGCCTTCCTCCACAGCAAGTCCCCAAAAAATGAGGAGAATCGTCAGAAAAGAGCAGTGAATGCTGTGAGACATATAGGTGTGGCAGTAATTTGTGGTGCTGGATCAATGCTGCTCTCTCAACTCCCTCTGATATTCTCGGAAGCCTACGTTTTCAAGACCTTCTTCAAAATCTTCTTCTTAGCCATCACATTCGGTCTCTGGCACGGACTGCTCTTTCTTCCCGTTATTCTCAGCACAATTGGTCCAAAAAGTCTGCACACTCATCACTTAAATGTGACAGAAACTGGGCTTAATACTATTACCAAAGATATTGACGCACAATTGCCATTAAATCCTGTAAAAAATAATGATGAATAAAAAATCAATTGATCATTATCAATAATATTTATTTTTGGTTCAATAAACATACAAAATTATTACACTATTCATACTATTAATCACACATTTATACAAAAATAATAATAATCAAAAAGTAAATTGGATAACTTAAAAGTAAAACGGTATTATTTATATATATTTATAATATTTTAAAGTTAAAAAACAAGTACAAAATTATTCGTTCCCAAGGATGCTCATATTTTTATTATCTCTTGTTCTTATCGTTCTTGTTCTTGTTTTATTCCCATTATTTTCGTTTATTCATTCAGTTATCCTTCATTGATATAAAGAAAAGTATAACGAACGAAAGGTAAAAACTAAAACATGACTATCATTAAACGGAATACGTAAACATGTGAATTGGATGCATTACTATTTTCACCATCATTTTTCTTTATGTATAATCGTAATGAATGAATTTATGACGTAAAAATGAGCGGCGAGAGGAGATCAATCCCATTTTTAATATTGAAAAAAACGTAAAAATCTCCAATCGCTGCATCTCTCAGTCTTACACAGTCCATGGACATTCACTCCATACAAATTTCTTTCACACAAATTAATTATTCTCTCAATTATGTTTTTTTTTTCGCCTTTCTAAATCAGTGTGTTTGCGAAAAAAAATGTTTGCAGTAAAGTGTTTTACTTCGGTGATGAGTATTTTTCGGCAAAAATGTATCGAAGTTTTCATCGAAAAATAAATGATCATCGAGGTAATTCCAGCACTGAGTCGTTGAAATAGTAAAATAATTCATTCTCACTGGAATTCCAATGGAACAATTGCAATCAACTGATGGATAAAACATCAAGATCACTCAACGCAGAAACTTACAATCAGGCAATTCAAGGAAAAATAACGAATCGTTACCCTAGGCGCATACATCAGCACAGTGTTTTCTTATTAATCAATTATCCTTGTCGGTTTTTTTTAATTAATTTGTTTTACGTTGGTTTATTGTTACGTTTTGCGCACACGACGGTAGACTGCTGGGCAGCAAGCCGCATTAAACGGTAAAGTACACATCTTACTTTATTTCGAATGAATTTTACAAATTTTGGAAATGGGGAGTTTACATTTTCAATTGAAGATTTTAATTAGTTTAAGGAACCATCGATATTTATATTCACTCAGCAAAGGTGCCAATTTACTTGTGGAGGAGGAGGAAATTTGATAATTTCAATAAAATGTTTAATTTATTCTGCATTGAAGTGACAACGAGATGAAACGCGAGTGGAATGCTATTTATTTCCTTTGATATCGCAGCAATGATCTCGGGAACAAGTGGTTTAGGAGATAAAATGTCAAGAGCTTTTTGGTAATTGATGAAATTCCCCCTAAAAAAGATACTTGACATTTTCTCATGGAATCATTTTCTCATCCAGCAATGAGATAATTTTGTTTTAACACGTTTGACCCCTTCAACCCAGAATCCAAGGAATTTTGATGCTTTTGGAGTTGAGATATGGCAAAGAAGCTCATTAAATTCATCAGTAATTAATTCTTTATTGGTTTGTATCCATGTAATAGTTATCGAGGGATTCGTCGGGCATTTGCAATGATGGGGAGTGGCAAATCGACGGGGGTAAAGACTCTCCTGGGAGGGTTTTCTGGGGGGTAGTACAGACAGACACACAGACACAGAGACTAGGCTACTATCGACTATCCTATAAACTATCCTAAAAAATTCACATGCACACGGTATACATACACACGTGGCACGACGCAATTTTGAACATGATATGTATACTCATGTGCATACGCAGTGGTTTATTCTCGTTTCATTTGTTTATTTCATTTCGTCGTTATTATCATTTATTGGTTTGTGTCTTTAGCCTTTCCTTTCGCATTCCTTTAATAAATGTTAATAGTTTCTTCATTTTTTTTTCATTACTCAAGCTTATGCCCAAAAATCTACCAGAGGCACTTTGGGTTTATTAGTACCATTTAGAAGTCGGCGTGCGCAGGGGAGGGGCACTGTATTCTTTTTTATTTATTCATTTGCTATTATTCGTGATCATTTGATATTTAATTATAAAACGTAAACTGATAAAACGATTCGTTAAACGCTAAATTATCTTGAGTATCAGTGGTTTTACGAGTAAATAGCATACCAACTTTTTCGCAGGAATTTTCGTTCTTTGCGAAAATGAATTGTCACTTTTTTCTCTGTAATCACTCATTGTCGAGATAATAGCAATAATGTCACGAGATATTTTCAATGAAGATTTTGTCAGCTATAAAAGCTCTATTATCTGTGAAAGATGTTCGATTTTTTTCAGATAAATAATGTTTCTCCCTTCACCGGAGTTTTCATCAAATTTTTCATATTTTTAATGAGTGCCCATAATTACCTCCCCCTCACTGTCGTTTTCCATTCGATATTGTTTCACCTGTCTTACCCACTCGTTACCATTTCCTCCTTATTTACCCATTTTTATCATTTCCTCTTTAATTTTCTTAATGTTCTCTTCGCCTTCATTTTTCTTTATTCATTTTTGAGCAATAAATACTTTCTCCACGAACAACTGCACATTGAAATTGACGCACTTGTTGACACACACAATCACACAATTCGAGATAAAAAGAAATTAGACAGTCGCACCGATCCATTCGCACCGCGTCCGAATTCGCACCCATCAAATCAATAAAAAAAAAAAATTGGAAAGAAATAAATCATGAGATAGAATGAAAGAAGTAATGAATTTATAAAATAATTGTTCTGTCACACTGAATCGTATATGGCTACATCCACAGAGTTTAATTGTTGTTATTCTTCCTTTTACGTTTAATTAATGATTATCAATTCATATCAATTCAATATCAATGTATTACAATCATGACAATACTCAACAGTGATTTTTTTTTATCTTTTCATTATTTCCATTATTTATATTACAATTAATTAATTAAGAGTGACAACAACATGACGACGGAGGCGTTGAAGCATATTTAGGAGTGGCACAAAAGGTGGTACTTTGTTTTTTTCTTTATGTTTTCATTTAGGAGTATTTAGAGGTGAATTTTCTTGTTCTTTAGTAACACGAGAGACTGTCGCGTATTCTTCATTTTATTACAATAATGAGCATTGATGACAATTACAGGCGACGAGTATTCATGAATTATGATAATGATAATGGTAATGATGATGATGATTCGATGATATTGAAAGAATATATGGCAGATTTTTTGTTTATTTACTTTAAATTTATCCTTTTAGTCAGCTCCACTGGGGGATGACATTCTGAGGAAAATATCAACTATTATTTTTCAATTGTCTTCGAGAGATATCGATGATCGTTACAAGTCAGTGTTTCCCTCAGAAATGAAATAGTTGTTGGGGTGGGAATGTGGAAGTGGTGGGGTGGGGAGGGGCTGGGGGTTGAGAGGTATTAAATCGGAATTTTTTTTAATTAGGAAGAGGGAAGCACGCACACTCAACACAACCGTCACATCGAGCTGGCCTCGCGCACGCGTGACCATAAGTCCATATCAATTTATTTACTCATTTATTTATTCGTAGTAAAATTACCTATCAACTAATACACCATCTCATTATTCTCGAAAAAGATCGTATTCCACATTTTTTGTTCACGTATTGTTCACGTATTGTTCACGTTCTGTTCACGTATGTTTCATTATCCTCCCCCATTCTTTTTCGTATCTCCATCATTATCCTCGAATCTCGAATGTGTGTGCGTCTATATATAATATATATTTATAATCGCGACAATATTATTTATCATTGTTTTTTTGTTTACGGAAGGGCACAGCACGCACACATATATATACATACACATGCGTTTTTCTTATGAATTATTAATTATTAATTTTCCAATGCGCCGAGCATTTGATTAAAGTGTATATATGTACACATATACATAATGACCATCCAATCTTATATATATATTTTCATATCAATTATTTAACTAGTTTCTTTTTTCGTACACTAATTTATCGCAATCCGGTGAATTCGGACCAGTCAATATTCATTTGAGTGATGGAATTTCACGATTATCTCGAAAACACTGGACCCTATTGATCATTCTCTCTAGAATCCCTCGTTAACGAGACAAATCGACATTTACGTTTCACTCATTTCGTGTTTTCCCCTCAACTGGAATTTTCTGCTTATTAATCAATAACGGAGAAGTGAAAAGATAACAAGTAGGTTTAGCTAGCAAGTATGTTTTCGATGAATATCTCTGAATCCAAAACAGATACCAAAATTTTTGTCAGAACCTTTTTTGTTCCTCTCATTCCACCCCCACAAAAAGGTCCTAAGAAAAAATTCGCTATCTCCCTTGGATTCAAAGATATCCCTCGAAAACTCGACTAGAGAGCAAGTCGACTCGTTACACCTCACCTCTTCCTTTATTAATTATTATTTGAACAAATGCGTGGATGGAAATGTTTGCGTTCACCTTGAAAACCTTGACAATTTTGCAAAAACATCAGTCGTCAGTCGCTGACATCGGGCACGTGGCGCGGATAGATCAGTTACACAATTTACAAATTTCATAATTGAACGACTGATTTCAAATAATCTCATTCACTCCCATTTGATCAATGAAAATTATCATCCCCAAATAATTACTTTGTTTCATTAAAACCCTCGTTCATAAGATTTCTCATCGCCATCAACTCGACGATCGACAATAGCAAAATGACGATATATTCGTCGGCCGCCGGAGTGTGAGCGTGATTTCAATAATAACCCTATTGCAATATCATTTGTTATTTAAATTAATTTGGTATATTTACAATTATCTGGTAAGTGCGATGATAATTAGTCACACCTGCCAGCCAGCGGCCTTCCAGAAGACTTTGTCGTATGTGCTTTTACAATTTTTTTTTTATCTCATTAAAATTTATTTCATTCTTTGTTAATTAGTACTCATTTATGAAACACCTATTATTATTTCGATACACAATTTCTTTTTTCGAACGTTGCGCGCACTTTATCTTAATAATTAATAAAAACGTGAGTTCATCTCTCACTTCACTTGTCGTTTATCTCACGCATTGCATCACAAAATTCGAACGATTAGAAAACAATTTGATTTTGACGAAATTAAATAAAAAAACGAGGGGGAAAAATTGTTCTTACGAATTGTTCATTGCTCTTTCTGTTCTGGCGTCGACGTCACAACGTTCTTGATAGCGTTAGGCCACGTTTTATCGTTTTTTAATTGAAATTTTTATGGCAATTAAATCCGTAACCAAGTGTCGACAGGTCCTCAGCAGGGCCACTCGTGCCTGGGCTTTGTCGGATACTTGGTTGGTATAACGGGACATCAGGGATTAGCATCGGCTGCCATTATATTGTGCACCTGCTCGAGTTTGTACGCCAATCTCTGCTTCTGGGAGAACTCATCCTCCTCGAGAGTTACTATTAATTGTTCGTTGTATTTTCCTGCGTATGTGTAGAGCTCGTACAGGGCACAATTCGTGTTGAATTCTGTCGTGTGTAACTGGGGGGAGAAAATAATTGGTTATTATTTTGCCCAATACTTGATCATTAAATATTTTACATCAGTTTTTAAGATGGAAAATAATGGATTGCAAATTCATTTACTTCGCCACTCCTTTACTAAATGTTCTTTTTATTTTATTACTTACTCTTGATTCTTCAGCTAGCATTGCATTCATATCGTGATCAGATATTGCTGGCATGGTTTTAATATCCGAATAGTAACGCTCTACCCACTCTTTGTACACTGGAATGTCTTTTGCGTAAAGCAGCTTGGAACTCGGTGAGTCTTTGCCTGGAGAATTCATAAAAATTCGTTATTAGATTCAATAAACTGGTGATTACTCTCTGTGCGTCAGTATTGAAGAAGCCACAGCCTCCAATGGGAAATCAATTCTCAAATCCGCAACGAAATTAAAGAGATCTGCCTCAACGTAATTACGCAATTATCTTGTTGATGAACTGTTCCATCAAAAAACACCAAGAGACCAGCAGATGCAATTTCCCCATCTCCAAAAAGCTCCCTTGACATTTCCTCCTGAAAACTCTCATTACACAGATAAATGCGTAATTAACTCAATCTCTCATTGCGTTTTAATAGAACATTTTAAATAGATACAGTGACTTTTTCATTACTGTCATCAGCTCATGAAAATTAACGAAAAAAAAAATGTAGCGAATACTAGAAATGGCGCATCAACACTTATCAATACTCAATAATAAATATAAAAAAATGACAAAAAGTTACCTAGCCTATGGTCAGACGTCGAACAACTATCCATAAACGTCTGTGCAACAACAGAGAGACAGGAGTCGACAATATTGGACTTGTGTATATCAAACACAAAGTTTGGATTTTTGATAAGATTGACCCAAAACCTAAGTGGAAGTGAATTACTCTTCCACGTGTGTACAACCTCAGGATCAGATATGCCATGATGAATAGCTTGATCATCGAGAAAATCAAACATGTATTTAATAGCTAGTGGCAGTGCAGATCCACGATGTGCAGTGCTGAATATTGTTTCAAACAGATCATCGACGAATTTCTGCAGGGTACCCTTGGTAGCGAGTAACCTCGTGAGATATATCTCTGATACCATCTTGTTACCACGTTCACCCTCTTTCTGGGCATCTGTATCGTGATGCTTAACCAAGTGCCAAACCTTGAGACCACCGTCGTGATCGTGGTTTAGTGGGGATGTAGCACGTGACAGTGGTGGACTCGCTGAGCTGAATTTACTTAAATTGAGCGTTTCGTACTTGTGTGACTTGTCCGTTTTCTCCGACAATATCGATAGATTGTAGATTGATGATTGTTTTGAGACTAAACTCAGTGATGCACCGTCTGGTACTCTGTAGTGATTCAGAGTATTTCGTTTTTTCCATTCACCCTCTGTCTTTGTTGTTGTGTCCTCGTCGTAGAGGATCAGTCTTCCTGATGCACCTGTTCGCCATTCTGAAATTTTATTCGACCCAGTTATTTCATTTTTATACCATATAATAATGGATTCGATAAATAAACTAGGTAAGAATATGTTCAATATATTCTTCATGCCTTCCTCTTCCATTCTGTAATAAAAATGTTTGAAAGCACAAATGTAAGGCTTCCGTCGAAGAAGCCTTACATTCAAAATTAATTTCTCATTCCCAACGACAACGCAAAGAGAAATATAAATGAAGAGATCTATGGGATTTATTAAAGCTCTCGTTCATCTTTTCATATTCTCGACAAATAAAATCTTGATGAATAATTATGATAATCCCTTTGTTTAGCAGAAAATCTCAATCTTTTGAGAGAAATATAAGTCTGGAAATAAATTTCAGACATCCGTGGGAGAAGTAATAAAAACAACTATTAATTATTGAATTTTTGTGGGATTTAATAGGGCACAAAGGCCGGGATTATCACAATGGCTGATATTTCTTCACCTCACACAATTCAACAGGTCCATCATCAGTAAAAACAACTCTCCTGTTCCCTTAATTACCCCCATTCATCCCCAAAACCTGAAAAATCCACTCACCGAGGTCAAGATCCTCTTTTCTCGGCCGCTGGCTGTACGGAGTGGCACGATAAATAGTATCTAATGCCTTCTCCTTCACTTGAGAAATTGTGTCACAGTCAAGCAGCTTGACTGGCACATTCTCCGTTGTAGGATCAAGATTGCTGAACACCGTCTGCTGAGCAATTGTCACATAGACAGTCTGTAAAATAAAAAAATAAAGAACACCGTACAATCTCTCATCTCAATCATGTCTCTGGAGGGATGAAAAATGATAGAATATATTTTTTAACTACGAACCATTGGCTTGAAGTCGATGGACTGTCTTATGAGCTTCTCCTCGGAGAGGGAATAACGGGCTTCTGATGAGATTGAATCAACAGGACCCTTGTCAACCTGCTGCTTCATAGCACGGAATAGCATGTAGAGTGGCTCGCCAGCACACTCGCGCATAAATTTGTACAAAAGAAATGTGAACCACGCGGACAACATTTTTTCAGCCACACTCTCCGTTCTGCAAAGATCATAATAGAAAAATTAAAATTTTCCATCAATCAACTGTTGATCTCATATATGTCCACTTCTCGATGATATTACAACTTCAAACGTTTCAAGAAAGCAACAATAAACAATTTTTATTCCAACTCCAGACCAGTTCTATCGCTGTTAGGAGTAGAATGTCTTTTTTTGTAAATTTGACTTCTTCATTGGTGAACCATTGATTTTGGATATATTCATTTCGTAGATGATATTAGAATGTTCAAAAGTTTCGAAGAAGTAGAAGTAAATGAAAATACTCGAGACGCTTAAAACTCAAAGACGTTTCTTCTCAAAATTTCCTTGGACACATCGAGAGGATATCAAATAACAAACTTACCTCCTCAGCAACAATTTGGGATGACTCTTGCCCTCCATGCACTTCTCAATGAGTTCCGCAAGTAGTGTCTTCAATATATCCGTGCAGTACTCCATCTTACTCTGTAGTGTAACCATGATTAAACTAGCAACATTGACCCTGTCTCTCATCGAGAAGTAGCGATTGCTCTCGAGAGTCCTGACAAACAGGAGTAGAAACGTCTTATGCATAATCAACTGGCCAAACAGCCTGAGCCCCTTCTCCTTCCTCTGTAGCTCGGGTCTGTCCCACTGGAGAACAACGTGATTATCAACATTGGGGAAGAGAATCTTCATGGCATACGTTCTGTAATCGAGGAAGGGAATGCCACCGCTGGTGAGGTCCCCAGTGAGATCAGTCATCTCAGTCTGCAATTCAGCGAATGCCTCCTTGCACTCAGCAGCTACTCTCAACTCGAGGATATCCATCTGCTCCTGCATATTCTTGAGGACACGATTGCTCTCGGTGGATTTTCTCCTATAGGCAATGAGAAAAGCAATGAAGATGAACACAAGAATGATGATAGCAGCGATGACACCGATGAGTGCTGGTCTGGATAGAGGTCCATTGAGTCCAGCTGGAAGTGCATAACTCATCTTTCCGATGCTGAACCTCAGGGTATTGCCAACGATGACAATCACCTCGGGTAGCTCTTGCTTATCAGGGAGTCCCTCAGCACTCAGGGCAGGTGGTTGTGATGGTGGTGGCCTGCAGGTCAACTGCTGCCTGGACAGAGACGTGACGTTGCAGTAAGTGCTGCCAATCTGGACAATCACATCGGATTCCTGACTCGCCCTGTCCAAGTGCTGTCCATTGATCGTGAGATAATCACTTTTGTAGTACTTGACTTCCTCGTCGAACTCGTCGTAGATGGGATTTGGATACAACAAGAAGTGATTGAAACCATTCTGGGATAGATTTTGCACACCAGTGACATTGTCCATTCTGAAACCGTACTCGAGGGCTAGTGGACGCTCTGCATCTAGCCCCACGTTCTCGGGGACTTCGATCGATGGGGAGCGACAATCCATGCTCGTCTGACTCAGTACGTCACACCTGGAGACAAACATCTTCTCGTCGTAGTACACGTACATCTGGGGATTTTGAATGTATCCAAGATTTTTTCCAGTTACTGATATCTTGATTCCTCCAGCTGGAATTCCTTTGGGTATTTTCATCTGTCCTGCCACACCACTCTCCACTGATTCTATTGTCGGATCGTCAACGTACTCGAAATAGCCGTTGTACGTTCGATTTCTACCGTCGAATGTCATCAGCAGTGTGCCATTTCGATTGATATTGCTGGCTGATGTCATGCAGAGGGTCTCGTTAAACTCAGCTGATATTACCGAACAGGGGAGTTCGTCTATTGTCACTCGAATTTCACTGCCAGCGTTCATGTATTTCCCCGTTATCTTGACGATCGTTCCTCCACTCCTTGGACCATACCTTGGTGATATATTGTCGATCACTGGGTCAACGAACTCGTAATTGTCTTTAGACTGGCCCCTGTAGTTCTCGATCTTGACTATTACTGGGCCAACTTCGAGCTTCTTCGAGCCAGGACCGTCCACTCTGCAGGTGATCTGCTTCGTGCGAATGTAGAGTTGCTCGTAGGGTTGACATACAACTCCAGCTACTGTCACACCTGCGTAAATGTCGTTGAAGGTTTTACCCAGGTTGATTCCCCTGATTGTGACGTTGGTGTTGCCTTCCCAGGGCCCCATCATCGGCTCGAACGAGTGGATCTCTGGATTGGGACACGTCTGGTTTCGATTCAACCAGATTCCAGAGCCTCTGCCACACTGTTCTTTAACTTCGCATCTGTCAGTACTCTGGCACCAGCCACATCCGTACTTCGGGGGAATTGCCAGGCACATTCCACAGTTATCGGCCATGTCTCGACAACGATAGATCACCACGTGGATGTTGTCGGGGTTGTCCAGTGGCTTGGAACCACCCCAGATCACAGCGAAGGGAACTGTTATGTTGGGCGTTCGAGAGGTGTACGAGAACTCCATCTCCTCGCAGTAGATCGTGTCGGCCAGGAGGCGGGCGTTTACACTTGTCACTCGACCCTCGATGTTGAATTGACAGACGAATCTCGTTTGGATGATGAATTGCTGGAAGAGGGGATTAGATTGATTGAGATATTACGGGTGTTATGCAAAATTACACATAACGCATGAACTGGTTTATAAATCTCGTCAAATTAATTGTTTCATTTACTATAATACAATATTGTCACGCAATATTTTTTAATACTTTGTAAAATGTAATTATTAATTATTATTATCAATTGTCATTTTTGTTTGATTAGTGTATCAGAGCAGAGCTAAATTTTCAAATGTGATAAATTGTTAAAAATGGAGAAATAATAATGAAAAACAAAAAACCAAGTGAAATTCAATAAAAAAATGTCCTAAACCATTGAAAAGTGTATTATATTGCCCAATGATATAATAACGCATAATATTTTGACGTAATATTTTAGCTGGTAATGTTTTACGTAATACCAGTGAATTAACTTGGCAGAAGTACTTTTTTCTCAGTGAAAATATTCGAAAAATAATCACGATAATTCGTGGCCCGTGTTTTCCCTTCCCATCAGATCACAAACTTGCAACGAAGATGGGGAAAAAAAATTAATTGAATAGAGAAGTTCTGGAATCCCCTTGAAAACAAGCGGAAAAGAAAACTCACCCCTATGATATGAACTCTAACCCGAATAGGTTTTTTAATTCCCGAAGACACAAGAATCTCCTGCGAGTCGGTAGCATTTATCGTTGGGCAGAATGCAGGTCCACTTCTGTAACTCGGTCCCATCCTCTGTGAACAAACAACGAGAGAATTCAATAAAACTTGTCCCGTGAACTCGCGACAGGAGCAACTGCTCCTTGTCTGGAGAACTTGGTTTCAATTAAAACTTGGATTAAGACGATACATACACTGACACCAGTGACGAGAATGTCATTTCGACAATTGGCAGCTGTATCGTGTGTACATCTGTGACCATCGACACACCAATCACATGGAAATTTCGATGAGACACACTCGGTGCATGATGAGTACGTGTTGCAATCGAAGAATGTAAAATTAGTGGCAACAAGATCAGGACCATTTGTCATTCTGACTGACAGTTTAGCAGTGAAGTGATGATGTCCAGATGGTATCGATGGAAGTAGATCAGTTCTTGGTGTTGTACAGTTGACACCGTACGACTTCCTCGTGGCATTTGTGATAAGTGTCTTATCGAGAGCTGAAAATGCACACAGGAAATCTCCATTCAACGTCGGCAGATTATCAATGATAAGATCAAGAGTTCTTGCTGTGGTTTTCTGGAGTAGCTCCGGTGTTACAGTCGTTATCGTCGTGCACTTGCCACTCTTGTAGCTTATCCAGTAGAGTGGGTCGTTGGCAGCATCCTGACAGTCACTTCTGAGATTACACTTGTTCTCCAATGAGCACCAGCCGCAGTAGGGATCCTTGGCACCCAAGCAATCCCAGCACGTTTTGTAAACTGAGCATTCTTGCACCTTAACCTTTGATACTTTCTTGTCGGTTAGCACATAGAGATGCATCGGCGGCTGTTGAGAATCGAACAGGAGGTCAGGGTTCACTGGTGAGTCTGCGTCAATCTCCAGGTCACCGTACTCCTGGGCACCGCTTGCACTCTCAACCACCACCTGGACCAGAGATCATATACGGGGGGTTAATCAAAAGGCTAATGCACAAATTCCGATGGTTATTTCGTGGAATTTATTGGCTAGTTAACGGTTCTTAATGAACTTTGAGTTCAATTGGTATTGAGAAATTTTACGTTTATAGTTATTTAAAGAGGGAAAAAGAATTCTTGCCCCCAGGGGAGACCCCGGTGAAATTGCGAGCCCTCGTTACAGATCGCGATTAACCAACGAATTATTAAAGGAAAATAAAAATACCAGTTAAAATCAATAAGAAAAAAAAACCTTCAATACTTCGACTGATGTCTTCAATCTATTATTATCGGAAATCGGTTGAACTCTAGCAATAAAAGTCTCTTTTCCATGTCTGGCGCAACGTCCAGGTGTTTCCTCAGGAAAAAAATATTCCGATTTTTCCAATTTTTATTTATTTTCTCTTCAATTCCATTCATGCCGCGTCATTATTCACCTAGAAAAGACACGAGCGATATCGTCGTGCAAATAACTGTGCAACAGGTCCAGAATATGATCGATCAAGCGTGTCCACTTGAATGATATCGAGAAATGAAAATAGATAAAAATGATTGGAAAATGTTTATATTAATAATTTCACTGGAGAACAATTTGTACGACTATGGTACCGTGTGACCCGGGGCAAAAACAATAGAGGGGATTGATGCAGTTGGACAAGTTGGATACTAGAGAAATGGTGAATAAAAAGTGGAGATAGTCTTGCTCAATCATAACGGTATTTATTGGCAGACAAAGAGGTTTTATGGTATAATAGTGCACTCAGGGAATGAGTTACATGGGATAGTTTCGTAATAGTTTGAGAATTGTGATGTCGGGCATGACTTCGTGGTGGGAGTAGCACGAGACAAATATTTTACAATTTTCAATAACGCTTTTCTCATTTTTGTTATTAAAAAAGAGACAATTTATCTGAAACAAGTAAGAATTGTTGAAGAACTGCTGTCATTCTCTCAGTGTCTCCAACTTCTGGGGGCATTCATACCAATGGCGATGGAATCCTCACGGGTGGCCATTTCATTTTCGACACTGGTTGACGCCCTTGTGGCTTTCAGACGCCCTTATAGAAAAGTTTTTCATTCAGGGGGATACAATCGGAGGGAAGAATAGAGGTGAAACTTCAAACTCTCGCAAATTAATTGTCCCGGGATGGAGGCGAGGGACTGGGGGTCGGCATTTTTTCGGGGTGTTTTGCAAATAATGGGATCGAGAGGTGAATGCTCAGCGATTTTTCACTGGATCTCAATGGACTGGTTGCTGGGGAATCAATTTGACAGATTTGCTGTTGCACAATTGTTTTGGAATGAGGGGAAATCCTTAGAATCTCGCGAAAGACCTTGGCTTATGTCGGAGGAATTAATCATTTCCCAGAATGCTAGAATTTTATTTTTTTTTATTTGTCAGTTTAACTGGCATTCAGTAGAAAAATTTATAAATAAATTATATATATATAAATATAATATATAATATAATAAATATATTTATAAATATATATAAGTAAAATCTATAATAAAAAAATGTTAATCTCATTTTTTTAATTAAAAAAGTTCCATACATGGATATACAACGGTTTAAAGAATTGTAATTATTTAATTGTAATTAACAATTGAATGAAAAAAATATTTTTATACAGCGAAAGAAATTTTTGAATAGCGAAATGTTCTTCTCCGCGTAATAAAATAAAAATTCCCGCGCGATTGCGCGGATGTTGGCAATGGAAAATTCCAACGATTAAACATTATAAACAATAACAATTTCCTCCGGAAAATTAGACAATAGTGGGGAACAACGCCGAAAATTCATTGACAATTAGCAACGGTTGACACACCGGAATAATGCAACGAGCGGTTAATACAAACGAGCGTCAAATCGATTCGCAATAATTTGTCGTCGGTGGGTCAACCTGTCTGAAAGTTGGTGGTTAATATATTGTCATTGCACCGACATTGGTACAGCCTGATCGCAATGGCATTACGTATGATAAACCGGGATGTGCACTAGTATTGAATTGGAAACCTCGGGTTCACTTCTGCTGCCGAACTGCTTCACTGGAGTTTTGATGCTGTGACTCATCCCGGAAATGAGATAATAATGTAACGAGTCTGTGGAGTCATACAATGAGCCCGTCACCCGTTATTTACCCTTTATGATCGCATTCATGCATTGATTTCATTCAACTTGAAAAATATACTCGAGTTTAAATTAATTAAGACGTTCATTGAGATTAACGACCTCAGATTTTATTCAAGATCCATTATTTTTTTCATATCACCTAACGTCGCGAGATACGCTGTATTTATCAAATTACGGTTTATCGACAAATTTTATTAATATTTTTCATAAGTAAAATTTCATTTTCAAATTTAATTCTCATGTTTCATACAAAAAAATTAACTTTGCCTGAATTTTCCCACGGATCATGCGAGGATATTCTTATATTATTTCAAAGAATATTTACTCTTCTTCAAGAGAGTGTATAACAAATGTTTTTTATTATTTATTTAAAGTGTTGAAATCGAAATACAAAATTTATTTACACTGTTTGTACTGGGGTATCAACCTCGTGTTTAAAAATTATTATTAGTGTAGATTAGACTTTGATTTTACATCCGGTTAAATATTTACATCTGATTTAACTGAATTTTCAAGTTACAATCGATTGTTTCTATTTTTTAGGATATATATCTCCCTCCCCAAAAATGAAAGTTTTTGCTATTCGAGAATTTCTACTGTGACATCAGAAATCCATCACCTGCTGTAAATTAAAATAAATAAATAATAACAAATAGAAGATCAGAATTTTGATCATGACAAGTTAAATTCCACGCAACTTGACCAACGCGTCTGAGTTAAAAATTTAAAGAGCTGAAAAAAAGTCGTCTCCCATTCTCCTCACAACCTTTTAGTGTCCGAGGTGTTATAAAATGAATAGTTACAAAATTAAATTCTATTTCCTTCGCAAATTATTTTATGACTGTACACTTCTTTTATGATCCCAAGAGAATGAGATAAACTCATGATTAAATTCAGTCCCATGTGATCCCCCATAAAGCCTCCATTAAACCCCTAAATGCCCTATTTGTCCGGCCAACACAAGAGTGAATGAGAGAGTAAAAAAAAAATTAGACAACAATGAAAACTAATAATAAATAACAATCGCGTGACGAGATATCATAATGGGCCTGTGGTTTTATATCATAAATGCGGTCTCACGGTGCTTTCAAAGTTATTCCATTTCCATTCGACTGGCCCACCCTGACTAAATGCCATAAAAATACTGAATTTACCCACTGAAACAACAATAAAATCATTTTCGTGATCTAATTCGTATCGATGTAATTCTCTCGGGCGTATTTTTTTATTTTTCATGAATCATTTTGTCTCGTGGTAAATGTGCATGTGGGTCGGTGTGGGTGGGGATCGTGGAATGCGATGGACTTTAACAAGATGGGGCCTGGGGGGCCCAGAGGGACCCGGGGGGGTCAGAAGACTTGGCCGTGGGGCGAACGATCGAACTCTCATCGTGCGAAAGGTCAAGATCGAGAACAAAGGGACATATGAAGGGCCAAGGAAGATCTCTCGATCCTCTCGATCCTCTCGATCTCAGATCAATACTAGAATCACAGAGGAAAAATAATCCCGGAGTTGCGAATGCTGAAAAAATGATTTACTTAGATATATTTTTTTTTATTCAAAGCGGAGTTTATTTGTTCAATTTTTCATGTTTGGAAATGGTGGGTGAATTAATAATGGAGTGGGGGGTAATTTTGATTTTTTTGGATTTTAATTTTTAATATTTTTTTAGATTTTTTGGAATCTTTTATATTTTATTTCACGTGTTTGGAGAATTATATTTGAGAGTTTATTAATTAATTGATTGATAAGGACTTCAATTATTTATTTATGTTTAGTTAAAAATTTAGATTAAACGTAGTTGGAAAATAAAACTCGAATTTTCAAGTAAAAAAAACCGAAAATTTTTAATAATTTTTCATTTTTAATAGAAAATTAATTCTAATTAATTAATTAATTAGATAAGAAAAAATTTGGATGACTCTCCTAATTAAAATTTTAATAAATTTTTAACAGCATTGAAAATATTTTTTAATTAAGAATGGAAGAATTTTTAATGGATATCCATTTCATCGTCTAAAATAATTGAAACTGCTGAAATAAATTACAGGGAGGATTTAAAGGAATAAAAGATTAAAAAATTGGTAAAAAATGGGAAACTGCAAAGAGAATATTCGGTGAATTTGTGGAAGGGGCCCGATGAGAGTGGCACAGCTGCATGAGTAAAGTTTCCAGGATATACGGGCGTTGGTGGGTATAGAATGGAATTGAGAGCGTCACGACAGGGGAATTTCGATGGTCCCTTTGACCCCCTTGGTACCGGGAACGAGATCGTTCTATGACCTCGTAACGATTTCCCAGGATCACTCCTCCATACACGCATTCTCCAGATTTTACCTTAAAACAGTTCCTGAATTTTCATTCACCCAAAAAATTTCAATCAACTCCACAAACTCATGTAAATTGTATTTACTTTTGTTCCAAAATTACGCTTCGAATGTTCAACAATTTTCATTTAATTTTCATTATTTAATCTCTTGAATATTCTGGTTTAATAATAATCTCTCTGATTTTCAATCTACCGCAGATTCAATTTTAAAAATTTCCAAAATTCTAAAAAAATATTACAAATTAAAATCTAAAAATCTTAAAACAGTTCCTGAATTTTCATTCACCCAAAAAATTTCAATCAACTTCCATTTCGAATGTTCAACAATTTTCATTTAATTTCCATCATTCAATCTCTTGAATATTCTGGTTTAATAATAATCTCTCTGATTTTCAATCTACCGCAAATTAAATTTTATTTCATTTTTAATTCCCCTAACGTCCATGGAAATTCAAGCTCTCATTGAAAACTCAATCATCATCAACCCAAAAACCCAATTTTCTTGAATTTT